CCTCTTCACCTTCGTATTTGAATTGGCTTTCAAACTGTTTTCATTTGAGCGCCGCTGGTGAGTTTTATGTAGACGAAACACTCGTCGGACGTACCAAATTGTAAGCCGGGTACCATTGATTAGTGTCTACAAACATTGGGTCGATGCCACTGCTGGTGGGCGTCTCGTTCCCGTGGGGATCTCCAGTCCGTAGTCAACACTTTTGTGTTGACATGAAATATCATTAACTTGATAATTCTCTGTATATTTATAGTGTTCTAAAATGTTATAATTCGAAGAAGCAAAGGTTTATCTACCCCTAGGAATATATTGTTCTAGCCGTATTTGGTACAACTTTGTTCGGTTGTTTATGCTCTTCAACGTCGTATTTGATCTTCAAACTGTTTTGATTCGAACGCCACTGACAAGTCTTATGTAGAAGAAACGCGCGTTTGGTGTACCAAACTATAAGTCTGGTATCTTTGAGCAGTGTTTACAACCACTGGGTCGATGCCACTGCTGGTGGACATTTCGTACCCGAGTGTATCACCAGCCAAGTAGTCAGAACTTTTGTGTTGATATGAAATATCATTGATTTGTTAATTTCAAGTCTGTAAATTTGCTGTTTTAAAATGTTGATACCAGTAGAGTCGTCAGGTCAAAGTTTTTGGTTTAAGGTAGTTTACCGGGAAATTGAGGTCACATCAACCTGAAATTTGTGTACACATGTTCATTATGAAGTGAACTTTTTGAATTATATGTCAAATTGGTTTTGAGTCGGGTTTCACAGTTCACTGAACATGGAAATGTGATATTGCGAGCAGGGAATCTTGTCCTGTGGACACATATTCTTGTTTTTTTTTTTATAACATTGGAGAACATTTATGCTTTAAAGTTGAGAATTTTAAAGATGTATCTAGCTTGCATTGCGCATAGCACCTGCATAATAACTAGCTATCAGTTATAGTCTGTTAGCTTTACATAGATTTATCCACTCCAATCTTATATCGTAAAACTGTGGCCATCTGTTCTAAAATTATACGAATCCCATCATGATTTGGTTGGCAGTTAATATGTCGTTCACATCCCGTCCCTTGATGGTTACAAGAAGCTGTTTCATGGGCAATCATACATCTCCTTACTTTTATATAGAATAACCAACATTTCAATGAGTTCGTACATCTCATATATACAAGTAAACATGATATTAAGGATACTACCGAAAGAAGAAGCTCTGCTTCATATCTTTATATTTTCATCGATATTTACACAGATGGGCGACTTCTAACTAGAATCTATGGCAAACTTGATGATTTCAACTTCCCAATCGTTAATTATCCCATTTCTCAGCAGTAACATACTCTCTGCTCCATTGTTTGTTGTTAACATGTCTCAGTTAATACGTTACTCTCGTGCATGTTCACACTATACGGACTTAAACAGGAGTGTGTTCCTTGCACGAAAACTGCTCCAAATTTAGTTAAGAGGAAGAAGGACTGAAATCGACACTGCATTAGTTTTACGGTCACCATCACGAATTAGTTGACCAATACGATGTGTCGATGTCTCAACTCACGCCTTAAATCTTTAGATACAAGTATACTCGTCTGATCTGTAATTTAAACGATTGTGTCCTATTCCCGATTTTGACATTTTGACTGAATGTGAATTCGCATGGCGTGTAAATCATGCACACCAGTAGACGCTTACTCTGTTGACGCATTCTGTAGACGCACTCAGTCTTGCTCCTTTTAAAAAGAGTTAATGCGATTACCCCAGTTATTGTCACCCTGATTTGTCTCATTTTAATAGATTTACGAGATTTTAAAATCTGTAAGTTACAGTCGCCTTTATTTACCTGAGACTTATTTTTATGCAAGTTATGCTTTATTCCGAGTCTTTACCTCTGTCATTGTAGACACATCGTATGCCTTACTGTGGGAAAGGGGGAATGGTAGCAGTCAGTATCGTTGATATTTATATTTTCTTTGTAGCAAAGTCGTTTCTAGTATGTCTTAAAATGTCTATCAACGACTTATCAATCCGATTGATAACGCTTTTGAACCCTCTCAGTTTACATAATAAACATATAGATTTATGAAAAGGGGGTAGTTCCAAGGAAGTCTTACCATCTCAATACCTTGACGAAAAGGAAGACCACTAGATTCGGGAACTACGAAACCCCATGATTGTAAAAAGAAAGTGGATTCACTCAGCTCGGTGAATGTTATGAATATTTTCGGAGTAAAATTATTTTTCTATCCCAGGTCTAGATTGCCTAAGCAATATTGTGACACAGTGATGACTGCTGTACCCATATTTTGACAATGTTACCTATTATGTCTGTTTTGTTCACGCATCGTTGTAAATATAATGGAATTTGATGCGACTGTCATACAAGTGAGAGGTTTAGCGCTATAAAACCAGGTTCAATCCACCATTTTCTACATTTGAAAATGCCTGTACCAAGTCAGGAATATGACAGTTGTTGTCCATTCGTTTGATGTGTTTTATCATTTGATTTTGCCATTTGATTAGGGACTTTCCGTTTTGAATTTTCCTCGGAGTTCAGTATTTTTGTGATTTTACTTTTTTGCACAACTTTTAGTAATTTTAGGTTTTCAGTGCTCTTTAACTTCGTAACTGATTGGACCTTTCGGCATTTTTGAATCGCGAGTAACATATAAAGCTTATGTAGACGAAACGCGCGACTTGGTGAAATAATTTATAAGCCTGGTATATTTAATGTTTTTTTATAATCACTAGATCAATACCACTGCTGGTCGATGTTTCGTCCCCAATGATACTACCAGACAAGCAGTCAGAACTACTTTGTTGACATGAAATATCATCGGTTAGTTTCTTTTATTTAATATTTTTATTAATTGTCTATTTAATATTAAAATTATTCGAAACACTAAGGATTTTCTACATCAGGCAGATTTGACCCAAATAACATTTGGCAAACATTTCAATATTTTTTTTTCTTTTTAATGCACTTAAACTTCATACAGGTATTAGATTACGTTCGCCTTTAAAGTGTTTTAATTGATTCTAGTGTCACTGGTGGAGGCGAAACGCACATCTGGAGTACTTAATTATAAGTTTGACATTTTTGATGTTCAGTGTTTGAACAGATGTTTTTCATTTCGTCCTTTTCCTTTATGTTATAATGTTGTCTGTTTTTCTTCGACTTATTGTTCTTGATTGCCTTTTAGTTTCTTTTCCTTTCAAACAACCACTTGTTTGATACCACTGCTGATAACGTTTCGTCCCGAGTGTACCTCCAGCCCATCAGTCAGCACTCTTGTGCCGACATGGAACATTGCGGATGTGGTCATTTCTGTAAATTAAGGCGACAATAGTTTGCCGATGCTAAAATTTCGTAAATCGATTAGGGAAGGACAAATTAGGGTAACAAAGAGATACTGAGGGAATTGCATGAACTCCAAAAGGGACGACACCGGGTGCGTCGACAGGGTAAGCTTTTTTGCTTTGCATGCATGCATGCATCATCCGCCATGCGAATTGACACTTAGTCAAAATGTCACAATCGGGAATAGGACACAATCGGTAAATTTAAAGATCAGACGACAATACTGGTATCTAAAGATCAGACGACAATACTGGTATCTAAAGATCTAAGACCGCTTAAAATATGTAGCTGTTCATAAAATGTTTGAATAATTCTAAATTCTAAGATTTTTCTACCTTATGTATAGATGACCTTAGTCAGATTTGGCACGACTTTTAGTAATTTTGGGTTTTCATTGCTCTTCGTTACTGATTAGACCTTCCACCTATTTTGATTCGAGCAAAATTGATGAAGATGATGTAAGCGAAACGCGCGACTGGGAAATCAAATTATAAATTTGGTATCTTTTATAGCTTTTTACTACAACTTGGTCGATACAACTGACGGTAAACGAATCGTTCAAATGGTATCAAAAGCTCATTAATATCAGCACTCACGAGGTGTCATGAAATATCATTGATGCTGTCATTTTCTGTAAATTTTCGTTTACAAAATGTTATAATAGTTTGAAATACCAAGGGTTTTTTGTTTACCCAGGGATAGATGGCCTATGCCAGATTCAGCACACCGCTTAGTAATTGTTTTTCTTCGAGCGCCACTAAATAGTTGGCTGTAACTGAAACAAGTGTCTGCCACACTAAATAATATGCCTGATATCTTTGATGTTTAGTAGTTTTTGGTTTTCCATGCTCTTCGAAATTGATTTGGACTTCCATCTGTTCGGACGCACGAAATAAAAAGTGTTATTTTCATCTATTAGTCGAGCGCTATTGAAGAATGGAATGTGATGAAACGCCCTTCTGGTGTACTGAATTGTAAACCTGGTATCTTTGGTGTTATTTATACAGAAACCGTTGAGTACATATCACTATCGCACAAATCTATATACAATACCACTTGTTTAACTGAATCTTGAGTTTGGAAATCCTGCTCAGCTCAAAGGAATACAGGACCAACAATCAATAAAATTAAAGTTGAATAAAAAATCACAAAGACATGCGCTCTTGAAAACGACAAACAACACTGAAAAACATATCTTTGCTGAACCTCTGGTAAATGGAAGATGAAACATCCCTAGCGTGACATAACATATCATAAACAGGCTACAAGTGATATTCATGGCGTGTAAGTTCTTGTCTACGAGGCGAAGAGATCATTGGACACGAAAATCCTCGTTTTAATAGGCATGATCACATTTTTCAACTACTACCTTTTTCTTTAATGAGCCTGAATTATCAACTATTAACTTATCTTTTATACAGATGAGTCATAGATGGTAAAACTAGGAGCATGATACATTATTATGATATCATCAAACTTGACGAAGACAGAAAATTGGCATAAATGGCAATTCACAATGGAATAAAAGAACAGAAATTCTTCCCAAATTTGGACGTATGTAAAATCGGGGAATATTTTGAATACACTGACGCTTACACCAGATTGTAAGTGAAAAAGCCGTCATACAATAAAAACAATTAAAGAATCAAATTGTTAACCAATGTTTATTATATAAATGTAACAAAACATAACAATATAAACATAATCTAAAGATCGGTTTTATGTCGGTTATTCTAATCCATTACCCTATTGTGTAGTTTCGTAATGGCCCGTCATACTGACAATCACCAATCTCAAGATCACAGGATACAATAATATAAACGGGTCTAACATCAAATAATTAACAACAGTATTTTAATTTAGTAATAATAATTTCATCATACTCACAACGAGTTCACGGTTTAATCTGTTCAGCAATCAGTCATCAAAATATCGTTTAAACGTTTAATTTTGGAACGTCATCGTTAACAATTAAACTGTGAACTCGAAGTGTCCTCATAGTACAGATTACACAAATCAATTTAATGTTTAAAAATATTTGAGATTTTGAAAGAAAGTGGAAATCCCGCCAGTGAAACACTTTACGAAAGCATGTGACTGTTCTGTCACCGTCAAGACTGTGAAGCATGGTGTCAGAGTCAAATACCATGTCCGTCATTTTCATCACGTCAACGTCACGCGCCTACTTGTCACTGACATTTTGTCCGTCAAGGTCAAAGCTGTCCGTCCTGGCGACTCTCCTCTCAGGTTTGCCCTGATGATGTCAATCCTTGTCATTGTCAGTCATTACCAACAGTGTGACATTGTCAAGTTCTAGTTGACCTACGACCAGAACTAGGTCAAGTACAAACTTCTGCCTCGTAATGTTGTCCTGATCAGTGTCAGTTCAAAGATGGTCCCTCGCTGTGTCACTGTCATCTCCTCTGACATCTTCATGTCGGAGAATTACTTCTTGGACTGGTTCATTGGCATTGTTCAACGTGAGTCGTGGTTGTTTGTCATTGTCAGCGTTCGTCTGACTGGGTACTTTGTCATCGTATTACTGCAGAGACGGTTTCACCAATTGGTCAGTTTCACGAAAGTTCTCCACTGTCTGAAGTTATGCATTGTCACATACAGTTCCCAGATAAATGATCTCACTGTCATGTCTTTTTTCCAGATTCGTTGTTTTGTCATCGTCAAGGACTTGAAGTTCTCTTTGTTGAACATTGTCAAGTTCCGGAACTTTGTGATCACTTGCATACCTGCTGGTTTGGTCACTGTCAGCTAACGTTATCACCCTCCGTTCGTCACGAGCATGTGTCTTCTGTTCGAGGTCATGAACATACCTGAACACCAGTCTCTTCAGTTAGTCACTGTCAAGATGAGTTGTCTGATATATCCAAAGGTCACCTACAAGTGGCAGATGAGTTAGCTGTATGAAAATCACAAGGTCAGTCAGTCAAAAATTCTCAATTTGGTCTAGCAATTTCACTATGAAAAGAGTGACGTCTTAAAAATGAATCTCAGTTAAATCAGACACATTCTTGAACAACAGTCAAACTGAGTTCCTCACAAGAGCATAAGCCTAGTCTTTCAGGGAAAAACGCTTGTCTACAAGCACAGTTATTTTCTAGATCTGATGAAACGGACGGACAAACTCATGCGCGTCTGTTTCTTTGATTTCTATAATGTTTTTTCATAATATTTCATAATTTTCTAATTACTTTATGTGTGGGTATTGGACGGTTTCATCTATTTCCAGTTCAATTTGGGGTACGATTCATGTCTCTTACTGCCGATCTTCCCATTCCTACGACAATTGCGTTACTTCCTGACCTATGACTATGACGTTCGTGGTTGTGTCTTCTACGACGTCGGCGTGATCTACGTATGGTTCGTTGACATCCGCATGGATCTGTATCGTATGCAGTACGGATCGCCCAATCAGTAAGATGGTAACGCAACAAGCTTGATGGAAACGGTATAAAGTAAACTAATTTGCCGCATCTGTGAACAAAAATAGAAAACTATATGTTTGCCTAACGTGTATCGCATCCCTTTTGCATATATATATATATAGAAGTAGTAAGATATATAAATTACCATTGCCGTGTTCGCACACATTTCACTGTTACAAAATAAGCAATACAAAGAGCTCTGATAATGATCAATATGCGCAAGTAGATTTATATTGAATGTGATTCTAGCTTCATTGGATGGGAAATATTTTTCTTAATTCGCGCGTTTAACGTTAATGCTATCAAGTCTTCATGCAATAGCTATTCAACTAGGAAACTAAAATAGGTCCTTTGTTTGGATGGCTTTCAGTTGCTCACAATGTATGTAACTATATATATCTAAATTATAAACTGCTATGGTTTCATAATTCATGATTTATGTTTTTAATTTTACACACGTCAATATCTTTACATGATGATATTGCATTTTTCAGTTCTTACCTATCATATATCAATACGTCATCTTTCCCGCCATTTAGTTTGTTCCATATGTTTGTAGCGTTTGTATCTTGGTACACAGGAAAGTTAGTTCTGCTGGAAAGTTGTCCAATTTGTTCAGGGACTTCTTTGGAATTGATAATCATAAAACTGATTTCTGTACGGCCCTGGGCGATGTATTCTTGACGAATAGTCTCCAGCCTACATTGTACAAACATATATTTATTTGAAATATTCTTAATGAATAAAGGCGAATGAAATTAGGGGGGGGGGGGGGGTGACACGAGGTGCTAATTTCCCAAATCCCGTTTTTGTCTCGCCTGCGACGAAAGTCGCGGAAAGCGAGACATAAGGATTGCTTTTCCGGCGACGGCGACGGCGTCAACAATAGTTAAGTTTTCTGCTTAAGTTAGTTTGATAGGAACTACTTGTGATATTTAATATAAAGCTGCATTACTATCAGTACATATCAGTTTGACGACTATTTTGAGGCTCTGTCCCCTAGGACATGGTCCAGTGACTTTGAATTAATCCGCAATTTTCAAAGTTAAGTTTTCTGCTCAAAATAGTTTGATAGGATCTACTTGTGATAGATCAATGATATTTTGTATGAAGTCAACAGTTTATTTTTTTGCCTTTGTTCCCATTTCCCACTTTTTTCCTGATACCACCTATTTGTACCCCCTATATCCCGTAATCCCACTTGTTTACCCCCATAACCTACATCTCAAACGTGTGTCACTATTCATCTCCCTCGCGAATATTTGACAAAATTAAACAAAAATGTAAATACACAAACTTTTAATTTCTATTATTTATGAATTAATAGACTGAAATGATTTACATGTAACAACATTCAATATATATCTAATAAATGATAACACATACCCTGCCGCTTGATGCTGACACATGGGTCATGTAGCCAACAGTAGTGCCACTACTGTTACTTTGCCACGCGTGTTCAACATTGGCTGATCTTCACTGGTGGTTCGCCAGGTTGGTGGGTACTGACAGAACCTTCCAGACACGCTGACTAGTAAAGCAGCAGCGAGCAACCCGGTTAAGACACCGGGGCTCTGCATAATTTCTCTTCTGAAAGAAAAGAATGGAGTTGACTAAATTTATCTGTGATTAAGCTTACTGAAAGATTTTTTTGTTTGTTTTACAACAAAAACATTACAAAATGGAATTTTGTAACAAAACATAATGGGTAACATAATAAAAGTAATTATTAATTTGGAGAGGTAAGCATTGCAACAATGTCTATATATTTTACAGTAAATTTGGTTGAGTTTTTAATCCCCGATGGTATCACCAGCCCAGTAGTCAGCACTTCTGTTTGACATGAATTATCATTGATATGGTCATAATTATAAATTAACTGTTTACAAAACTTTACATTTTTTAAAAACTAAGGCTTTTCTACCTCAGGAATAGATTACCTTAGCTGTATTTGGCAAAACCTTTAGGAAATTTTGGTCCTCAATGCTCTTCAACTTCGTACTTTATTTCGTCTTTTTAACTTTATCTTTATTCGAGCGTCACTGATGAGTCTTTTGTAGACGAAACGCGCGTCTGGCGCAAATACAAAAGTTCAATCCTGGTATTTATGATGAGTTTATTTAAGCAATTCGTTGACCAATTTTGTGTTTAGATAATGCTTTTCTATGACTGAGACTCATAGAAGTTAGATTATGTAACTAACTGTGTAACCTTCTTCAAAATAAAAAAAATAAATAAAGTATTGTGTAATGGTTACAATCAAAACATTTATACCTCTGTGTAGACTTTCGACAGATAAACATACGCATCATCGTTTTAGCTAACATGTCACTTAGTGTTATGATAGCGGTTAATGTCATGCAGTTCCATCCATTGTAAACGTTTGTGAACATCTACGAGAAAACGTTGAACTGTGATATTCAGATCCTTCATAGAAATTATAATTCGATTTCGATCTGAAATCAAAGATGGCCGCCACAATAGAACTTAGTTTAAACACTTGGTTAAATAGAGAGCCCAGAAATGGAAAGCATGTAAGCCGAAAGCATATCACTTGAAAATCATTCTTAAGATTTTGATAATTGAAAAAGTTATTTCAATACCGATCTTAAATCGAAGATAAAAACCATGTCGAAAAATCGTTATTGTAGGACATTATATAAATATAAACAGTTTGAGAATATTCCACAAACTAAAAAATTGAAATATATAAACGCAATTAGTTATACATGTAACAGCCACGTGATACGGACTCCTTGATAAATAACCGAAAATCAAGCAGCATTATTTTTTAATGACAATACATAATCATTTTTGGTGGCTCTTAAATTGACGTCTTCGTAAATTAGCTCGAAAACGATGTAAGCACTCCTTTTCGTCCAAATTAAATGATGTTATTTAATTGTTGTGCAATATTCTAAAAATCACATAAATTATTCATCTTTTTATTGTTTATCTTGTTATCTATATAGTGTAAACTCCAGCTGATAAATATGTGCAAAACAAGTTCAACGTCTCTTTTACACCTGTCCTTGATTTAGATAATAAGGAAGTACAATAGGATTTGTGATATAAAACTTATAAGGTGCTTAACTAAATTGTTAATGTTTCGCTCATCTTGACAACATGCCTGGTTTGTGAAATATTGTAAACTCGTGTGTTGTTTATGTAAGAACTCGACGTTTTATAAGGGCTGTGTATTCATAATTTAGTAAAAGTTTCCAAGTATTTTTTTCTTTTAAAATCAATCCAAGTTACTACCATATAGTCCATGTTTGTTCGAAATACTTAATTATAGCTGGCTAAGAAAATTTTATATACGAGTAATTAACAGTAAATTTATACCTAAATAGAGAGGAAGATAGATACAAAGGGAAATCAAAATTATAAACCTAAGAAGTGCAAACAACACCATGGCCACAAAAAAAAAGAAAAATGCTATACCGAAAATTAAAGGTAACCCCACAAAAAAACGGGGCCAGACAGACCCTTCTCCACTAGTACACTCATCGTGTTGCTTTATCGTGGTCGTCTACGACGATTTTCCCTAATTGCAAACCAAAAAAAAAAGCCATTTGATTTCCGAAGAGATGACTACAGCATAACCATGAAGAATCATTGGTTCAATAGATTCCGTCAAGACACTTCTGATAGGAAAGGCAAGCACTGAAAATACCCAAAACGACAAGTCAGGCAACAATCAAATGGAAAGGAGCGCTATTCCATCAATCCTTACATTGTTCATATTTCATAAACATCAGTAAAAGTCGAAATTGACTTATCTTACTAAGTGTGAAAGGGCAATTGGACGAGCTATCTGACACCATAATAATTCTGCTCGAACGAAGAGCCTAATAGTAAGTATACTTTCATGACACAAGAAGCTTTCTGAAATTGCCTTATTTGAGTGGTCGTGTGTTTTAAATTATTTACACTTGTAGAATTTGAAGAAATATTTATATACGATTCATCTGAAATCAGATTTTAAGACTTTATATGATGTTCGGATGTATTTTATCACGCCCCGAGAAAGCTAAATGCTACATGGATTGAAAACTAACATTCTTACCTTATGTTAAAGTGTTCCTGTGCAAAAAGTTGATGTCGATTACAGTTTATTCGTAATAAAATGTTGACTACAACTCTCCTGAGCCTTTATATACTTTGTGGTGAACGTGCTATGAATATTCAAAGGTACAAAGATTATGTGACAAGTATCTAATTATAAACTAACTTTTATAAAACCGTATAAGATTTATACAATATGCAGATACATAATCTGTGTTGCAGTGGATAAGATAAAGGACATAACTTGTTGTTACAGGATATTTTGTGTTATCCAGTCACTTACTTAAGCAACACCGATGTTGCAATTATATTTCTTTAGAACCAGATAAAACTATTCTAACCCCACCCACCCACCCATCCTTGCATTAACAAAAACAACAACAACAAAAAATCAATATAAATTTAAAGCCATCGTTAAAAACGTTTGAAACGTCTTCACTAATATCAAACAGCTCATATTTCAATTTACTAGTGATCACTAGTTATCATCGTTTTGAAGTGTGCAACATCCGACCTCAAAATCAATATATAACCAAATGACCAGGAGACGCACCGGTCTTGCTCCTTTTGGATTTCAAGCGATTTCCTCAGTTTTTATTTTTTTACCTTGATTTGTATTTTCAAAATGGATTTATGCGATTTGAACACCAGTAAACTACTGTTCAGTTGCCTCTTATTTACCACGAAAGGGGACATATTGAAAATGATTATCACAGAAAGAATGCATCCGCTGCAATATAGTTCAATTTGGATTACTACCAAAGAAAGAAATATTTGAATGTTGTTCGATCAATTTCAACAGAAAGCATCAATGTGCTCTATATATCATATACATGTATATTGCTAACATGAGATTTAGTATTAATTAAAGAACTGAATTTGGACCCAAAATCAAACTGCATGCAGGTAAACTGAACTTTTATATGAATTTGACAGATCCGCATTCCAATGATTGAGTTGTTGCACTAGTTCGCGGTATATTTTGATTATTACATGTTTTCTCATATTAATAAATATGTCCTAGCTTTTCCCTTAATCAAAATTGATATAAGACCCCTTGAGAAGCATTTTTTTTCGTATTCAAGGTTAAATTAAACATTGCAAACATGTACGTACAAATGGCGTGAAATCTTCTAACTTTACCAGATGTGATTTTGCAGAGTTGGAAAACACATGTAAATAAAATATAATAAACATAAAAAAAAACGCACTAGCCATCATCATGACATTACTTCCGATGAATTTATACTAACAGATGCAATGGACTCAAATCTAGATAAAAAAAGTATATACATACTACAGACACGGTGGGACGTTGCATATATTCACAAAGGCATTTACTGACGGTTACTGGTGCGGAAGCTGTACCACTCTCCTACTTAATGTATCAATACACCTAGTTATAAGATTGTAAGGTCACTTTATATAAGAGAAATGAACGTGGGCGTAAAGTTTGATTATGATTTTATATTTACTTATAGCCTAACAATGTAGTACATTTGCAAATCTATACTCTTCCCTCGGTGGGATTCGGATTTAAGCTATTGAGACACCAACGACAATTGCACTGGGTCCAACGCCTTAGACCATACTTTCGATCTACAAGGCTATATAAAAATATAGAAAATTTTGGCTTAATCTAAGGTTGAAGCACAGTACATGATCCATCGTTATTCGGGTAATGCCTTTCCTCGTCGGCTTACAGAACACATGATATAGTGGCATGAATGGGTACATGAGTGCAGTTAATTTTTGATACAATAAATCGTATACCAATTGCTTTGATCGTACGTATGTCGAACATACAACAGTGCGGCATCAAATACGTAAACAAACTATTAATGTAAAAATGTGAAATATCTCTACTAAATCAGTTATGAATTAATGTATTTTTCTCACGTGAGGTGTGTATGTATATAGGCCATGTACTGAACTCCAGTCTGTTCTAAGAATAGACAATTAGTAAAAGTTATACGGTCATGCGAAAGAACCACTAGAATAGAAGAAGTAAGTCATCTACAAACGGCTGTAGTTAACCCATTTTCTTGGCAGTGAATCCAAGACCCAAACCCTTGTTTCCCGTGGTATTTGATATCAAGGAGTAGCTTGAAAAGTTCCAGAATATAAGGTTAAAAGCATAAGCGACGAACTAACTCTGGAATTACCATTAAGCACTTATATCCCAGAGAAATATTAACAGGTTACAACGTAAATGATTTTGGCAACAATCGATCGAAACAGTCGGCACTGGAATGCAATCAGAGTACACAGAGGCTTTCCAGACACTTTGATGGTACTGTTTGCGGACAAGCATTGATGTCTTTTTTTTACTCTAATCATTGAAATGCGAAAAAGAAGGACATTAAATTTTAAGACTACTTTAGTTAACCAAACACAGATAATCAAACGATAAACTGATAATTCAGAATGGTCAGTCCGACTGTCTCCGGTATTATAAAATGGTGAGCCTTGCTATAGAAAAAAAATCATTTACGAATCTTCTGAAGGACACAATAACAATTACCAGCTGAAGCCCGTCTCCGGGTGCGGGATTTTCTCGCTGTGTTGACTGAGGACCCATTGGTGGCCTTAGGCTGTTTTCTGCTCTTTGGTCGGGATGTTGTCTCTTTGACACATTCCCGTTTCCATTCTCAATTTTACATAAATATTTCTGTTTTTCATCCTATAGTTTGTTTAAATCTTTGTTTATTTAATAAAAAAAAGTGAAACGGGATTGTAGTCGCTGCATGGTGATGTGGTATGTGTTTGTAACCCTTATTATCTCCCAGTCCTAATGTTTAATTTTACATTGGCACAAATCAGTACTTATCTAGCTCCCGATTATTCACTATTACACCGATTAATTATCGGCAGTGATCATGCTAATTGACACAACGTTGTCATATCCTCTGGTTTAGTGAAAGGTTGTTTGAAAAGATATGTCTGATCATGGGTTAAATCATGTTACAGGCGGGAATATGTTTATTAAAATTTGATGTGAATATCCTAAAACAGTGCACCAATTCTTCTACAATTACAACTTTTGGCATATTAACAAATATTCAAACCACTAGCAACAGACACATTATAATTGTCAAAGAATGATGTAAACAAAGCCATGTGACTGAATCACATGTATTTGTTGATACATTTTTTTAACCAATCAAAAATATTCTAATTTTACGAACACCAATCAAACAGAATTATAATCTTCAGTGCCGAAATTTTTTTATCTACTTCCTGCAAAATATAAACAATTACGCATAAACCAAAACAAAGGAAAGTGGAAAGTGAAAAACTGTTAGAACATGCCGTTTCTGGGACAAGACTGGCGATCACCAGGGGATCAGTGGGTAAGAACAAAAGAAGGATGGGAAAGACTAAAGTTATGGAGGATAAAAGTGTTTGAAAATTTGAACGAAAGCATCCTTGCAAGGTAAGTAGCTAAATATCGATCAGCTGATTTTCTTGTAATATTTCCGCACGTTTATCTTTAGAACATCTTAGTCATGACATTGGACTTACGTGTCCAAACTATATCAAGATACCGTTATAAAATCCTTGCACTGTAAATAATGCATAAGAAATGCAATATTGCATTTATAAATATTTATGCTAATTTATTCCAATGTTTGACAATATTAATTGAAAATAATGCATAAAAATAGTCGAAAAATTACCCCATTTCTGGTCATAAAAGTATTTCATATTTAAGAGTGGTCCATGAAAACAAAGACTCCGAATTTTTATTTTCTCCAATTTTTTAACCTATGATCTTTTATGGAGCGTAACGCACTACATGTACGGCTTCTTAATTTGGCTATATACCTCCACGGTTTCCACAGCAATCTTTATATGCGTATACACATCGTCGTTCGAATCTTATAGTGTTATTACATGTATGTCCACTTTTAATAAAAATGGAGAGAGCTATACATTTGATATCAGGTGCAATGCTCTATCTCCCTATACATGTACATATATACATCTATAATACGAGATCAGTTCACCACTCTACGAGTTTTTTTTTGTCAGAACTACGTACACTGTTCTATATATCTCCAGACCCCTGTTGTATTTTAATAGCTTATTAATCTAGTTAGTTCAGAGAAAAAAAATTGTATAGCGTTGTATCTCCACTATTCCTCCTGTATTGTTGCTGTTAAGTAATTGTTATCAAAATTATCTTAGTAGTACTATGATTATATGGTTTGCATGGTTTGAACTCAATCTGTGAGCAATTCTTAGCAAATCCAGCAGTACATAATTGGGGATAATATGACAAAGTTAAAAAAATCCATAGTCTATCTCCAATGGAAATATATGGATAAATTTCTTCAACTACATTGTAGTGAAATGTTCTATCTCCAAAACAGGGGATGCTTTATTTTACAATGTATCTCAGTTGCTTGTCTCTTAAAAAAACAAACAAACAAAAAGTTACTCTTCATGCACGTACATGTAAATTGATTCCTATATAACTTTTTATGTCTCGGTCAAATATTTCTGATATTGAGCTTTTAAACTTAAATTAAATTTTTACCACCATTACCAAATGGGAAATACATAATTATAAGATTCACACGACGACATATGTATATTTATGGAATAGTTGCGAAATAAGAGGAAGGAAGGTGCAATTTCCCTCATCCTTATATATATATAACTGTATACGGTACACTTTATCATAATTGCTACAACTTTTCACTGTCGACATAAAATGTATGTCTTGAAACGAATTGATTGTTGAAATAAATTTCAAAATCCGACGAACCTGATCGACTACGGCAAGATGTATATAGTTATGAGATCGAACCTGCTCGACTACCACTGGCAAGTTGTATATAGTTATGAGATTCAATTTAATGTTGTGATTCTGAAAACCTCCTCTCGATACAGCATAATATTATTCACGTTCAAAAAAGTTACAATGTATCAGACTCTCCGATAAGGCCATATTATTACAAATATGCTATCGGGTTTTAAAAAGTTGCTTCAAAAACAACTTAAAAGGAACTCTTGCCTATTTACAGGTTAATCCGATTGGCTGTATTAAATTTTGAAGGCGAGAATGACAATGACCAATACACGCACCAACCCAGGATTCATTTCATCAAAACTTTGTCAAGAGAGGTAAGAATATTTAAGACTGTAGCGATAAGTACATTCGGCTGCTTGCAAAAACGGAATCGGAAATTGTAAAAGTTAGAGAAATGATTTTAGTTCAAATATTAACATGATGCGTGGTAATATCGTTTGTTCTCTTTCAGCGTAAAGTCGTGACAACATTGAGCGAATCTTTTATCCTTTTGGACATGACAGGTGCTGTGAAAGATATCAGAAGGTTCAATTATGTCAAGAAGGTAAGATACAACAAGGAAAATCAGTTAAGAGAAATGATATTCAGTATTATCAATAATAACATGTTAGCCAGATCTGTACGCTTTCTATGTTTTTTTTCATCTCAGAGAATCATTTCTATTACTTTTCTCCGTAATTTCAGAAACTGTTGAAACAATATTTGTACACTTTATACAAATTTTAAAATCCGAAAATCAGATCACTTTAGAACTATAAATTTTGCTTAAAAGTTACATGGAGACACGAGGCAATTTTTTTACCGTAATATTGTGACCTTATGGGGTACACTACTGGAGCCTCGTCCAATACGTGGTCAACCAATACGTCTATCTTATCGAATAACAGGTGATGTACTTAACGGTGTCCACGTTTCTGAGATTGACAGAACCTTAGCATAATGTTACCGAAATAACCATCGTTGCTACATGTAAATGGAAAAAGTAAATATTTTAGTTAACTTTATTTCAACAGGCATATTTTAGTATGGTTAGTAAATTAAAGAGATAAATCACAGAAAAAGAAGGTTATGTTAATTGTGTTGTTTGAAAATAGAAAATTGAATATTCAGTGCAAACTAGAGGCCCCTCATGGGGGTGTCCAAGTAATCACATAATCACAAATGTTTTGCCAATATAATCACATAATCATTAATTATTTTTTTAAACAACATAATCAAATAATCAAATAATCATAAAAAATATTTGGTCTGGTAATCAAATAATCACTATAAAAACGGTCAAGTAATCACATAATCAAAAACACCATGAGGAGGCTCAAACTATGAAAAAAAAATTATTCAAAGCCAGTACCTAAGCGCCTGTGGATGACATAGTCATGTATTATATAAGTTCATTTCTTTTGCAGATACTACATGTATTGTTGAGTAAAAGTTTAGTGAACATGTCAGGAACGTCACAGAAATATATCTTCAGTATATTAGACGAAATGGTAATCCAAGGTAAAGATTATTTTCAATAATGGACATTTCTTAGTCTTTCCCGATTTAGAATTAAGTTAGTTTGATGAGTGTACAGTTGGCTTATGGTATTTGACATGAAGGTCATATCATCTGACTGTGATCATGACCTTGACTTTTGACCTGAAGGTCAACATAATTGATATTTTTTTTACATTTTTAACCTGGAACAAAACTTTTTTATCCTATGAAGTAAGCTTTGATATTTGGCACAAGGGTAGTCATCACCCCAAGATGAAGTGTTGCGTACCATGGAAGATAACCTCTGACCTTCAAGGTCAAATATCAAAATTAATTGTTAAATAGATTAAAACTGTTTAGATTCCCTACCATCAACTGTAAATATATATTCTTATTTGCCATGACAATACCTTTCATTTCAAGAATGTGTGTGTTGGGCCTTTTCTTTACTGGAATGACTTTTATAGATGGTGATCCTAGTCTACTTAAAAAGTTCCACCTAGCTAATATCTATATTGTTAATTATTATGATTTTTTTGCTTGCACCCACACCTGTTTCATATTTACATTTATATTTTCCTGTCCCACAAAGAAGTGAGAAAGTCCCTATTGCAGTGCCTTGTCTGATTAAATATTTACTTGTAAATTTTAGTTGTTAAGACCAAGAACAACACCAAAGCCATGTCAGATTTACTTGATTGTGCCACAAATTCTCTCAACGATGGTAGATACAGCCATATTGGATGTACAACCTTGTGGAACAAACATTTCCAAGCAGTTCAAAGAATGAAAAACAAATTGAATGGTTGTAAAACTTTTATGGTAAGGCTGCAAGAAGGACATAAAATAGTCACAGGAATTAAATTATTATCAAGTTTTCCCATCTGTAGAATTCTGTTGGTCTCATGGTGGATTCAACTACTTTGGAAAAAAAGGGGGTGTGATAATTGGGTCCATGAGGTTTTTCTAGGGAAAAATGGGATGAATTCTAGCCTTATTTATACTAATTCTACATAATATTTCAATATTATTCTGAAGATCTCTCCTCCCTTCTTCATCTCAATATATCAGGAAACCAGAATACAAAAAAGACATCACCATTTACACATAAATTATAATTACCGGTACTAAAGAAATATTCCACAGCACTTTTTCCTAGATAATTTTTGTAAAAATATTAACACTTAACAATCTACATAAGTCGTTATTGATTGATTTGAAGTAGTCACATATATATTTTCAATTTAATATCTTAAAGAGAAAGGAAGATGGGAAACCTACAATATCTGATTTACCAGAAGACTGCATTAGATGTATCCTGGAAAGATTGGCTGACCATAAAGATGTAGTCCACACTGGCATGACAAAGTCAAGTATCTTTCACATCACAGAATCACAGCTCATATGGAAACACATGAGTTTCTTCCATTTCACAGACAGACAGTTACTTACCTTTGTACCAGATCAACTTGGTATCGATGAAGATTTTATAAACTGGAAACATATCTACAGAAAATGCTTCTTGTAGGTTTGTCTTTAGTAGAAGGGTACATGGGTGGTGTCATGAAAAATAAGTTCCTTCATAATATAAGTTCCAGATGGAAGAAATATTCTGTAATATTTTTTCCACTAGAACAAATTTTACAGAATTTATTCCTTACAGAATAAATGGTATAGAATATTTGTTCTAACAGGAGCAGATATTATGGTATTGTTTATAACAAAATTCCAGGGGTACTTATGTTAGGCGTAACAAATATACATTGACAGTGGGAAGGGAGTGATTAATATAAAAAAAGACATCATTGAGATTACATGTACATCTATTGGTATATATGGGGGAGGGGGGGGGGGGGGGGGTGTGTGCATGAGATGATTTTTGGCGTTAAATGTAAAAAAAAATAAATCACCTCTTCAGACAAGATGTGAATATATTCAGGAGAGCAGACCATATATATTGATCCCATGCTGAATTTTCAATAGACAAACAAATAGAAACAAACACCAAGGAAATCTTCGTGTATCATTGAATGGTAAAATCAAATGCTTTGCTGAGCGCAGCCTGATATGACCGCAGAGGTCAAACCCTGAACAGTTGGGGCAAGTTTGGACACAATATTCAAGCTTGATACTGTCTGAATCTGGATTGTGATCAAATTTTTGACATAATATAGGTTTCTGACACAAAATAAATGTGGTCAGAGATCTTAAAAATTTGAAATGGGACATTTAATTCACCTAGTATGGTCTGATATCCAAAATCTAACAACATGGTTAGATTCAGCATATAAAAAACACCAAAAATTTAATTTTAGTTGAAATCAAACAAAGTTTAATTTTGGACCCTTCAAACCTTAATATGGACTAATTTGAAAACAGGGCCCAAAATAAAAAAATTAAATGCACAATAAGATTCAGCATATCATAGAGCCGCAATAATTCAGTTTTTGATGAAATCAAACAAAGTTTAATTTTGGACCCCAATGTAGACCAATTCAAAAATGGGGCCCAATATCCAAAATAGTAATACAAGGTTAGAACCCCCAAAAATGAAAGACTTAATTTAATCCCATTGAAATTGGTTAAAAGATTTGTATTTATTTTCAATTGAAGATTTCTTGCTATTGCGCAATACTGTGCTGTTGCACAATACTTAGTTAATCTGTTATATATAATAATTTACACACCCTGTTTGCTGTGTATCTCCTGCCATATCAGTATTTGTTGCTTTTATATATAAATCAGAAATAATCAATGTAAAAATGGAAAATTTCTGGGAAAAAAACCCCAAAAAATTATGGAACCTTGTAGTACAATTTCAGATAGATCCATTAACTTAAACACAAGTTATTGTCTGGAAACTAGAAAAATGCTTGTTTTTGGCCCCTTTTTTGCACCTAATTCCTGAACGTTTGGGGCAATTACCCCCATACCCAATCCCAGCCTTCCCTTTGTGATATGGAACCTTGTGGTACAATTTCAGAGTGATCCATACACTTACACACAAGTTATTGTCCGGAAACTACAAAAATGTTTGTTTTTTGCTTCTTTTTGGCCCCTAATTCCTAAACTGTTGGTACCATAACCCCCAAATCCCAACCTTCCTTTTGTGGTATTGAACCTTCTGGTAAAATTTCATAGAGATCCATTCACTTAAACTAAAGTTATTGTCTGGAAACCAAATGTGTTTCGGACGACGACGCCGACATGATAGCATTATACGAACGCAAATTTTTTGTGGTCGTATAAAAACTGACAACCTACAATAAAGGTAATATTTCATCAACACACTTGATTATGTGGGTAAAGATTGTAGATGTTTGCTTTAACAAAGTCAAAAACAGTATACCAAAAGCCGATAGAATCAATCTTATCAGATTAAATAGAAAACTAATCAAAAGACATTTAACTTTTTTCAACACATAATCAAAAGATCATCTTAAAGTATTGAAGTATACAAATGAAAACAATGAAGCTAGGTCTTTAATGCATTCTTTTAGAATTTTAGAACAAACAAGTACTGTCCCCGGTTAAGGGGAGGGTTGAGCGCTCACAAATATGTTTAACGCTCGCTACATTCTGTATGAGTCTGTCCCAAGTCAGAAGCCTGTAGTTCAGTTAAAAAAAATTATAATTATAATCAGAAATATTTTTGGTGCTGTTTCCTGTGTCTGTAGCTTTTGTAAGTAGGTTACATAGGCAATCATATAGGTTATAAATATCTCTATACATGTATTAACATTTTAATAATGTTGTCATTGTGTAATAAAGTTTTGTTATTAACAATTTTGTTATTTTTTGTTGCTAACTTTAGGAGATATGGAAGAAAAGAAATATATGCAGATACGCTGGCTATATGTTTACATTGTGACAACATCTTTTGGAAGGTAAAATATATAAATTATACATTCATTGCTCTAGCCTTTACTTTCAATCTAAAATAACATATTTATATATTATAATGTTTTCTCAAAGAAGACGAAATATTTCTGATATTTCAGATAAGAATATGATATCTATGCTCATTGATAACTTATAGTAGAATTGAGAATGGAAACGGGGAATGTGTCAAAGAGACAACAACCCGACCAAAGAGCAGAAAACAGCCCAAGGCCACCATGTATTGTATAGCATTTACATGTATCAGAAATGTTGCAATGCAAAAAAAAAAAAAAAAACTTCTGCCAATGAATTATTTCAAATAAAGTTCTGCAATGTAAAAAAAGTTTTATTGTTCTTCTATATCATTAATATTTTTATGTTTTTTTTTATATAGTCAATTGGTCATCCCTGTATCAGTAAAGAAGAGCCAGCGGCCAGAATCCTCCAGCCAGAAGCTTTTTTGAAACTATTCAATTTCTGAATCTCCATTATAACAACAGATCTCAGCGCAAGGATAATCATACAATCAGATCTGATATCATTAACATATAGCAATAAACATTTATTGGAATGCGAGTGTTCATCAAGAAAATCCAATAATTATGTGATACATGTACAAAAATGGGCAGAAAAGTTCAAGCTACAGAAACTGTCAGAACAAGTAAATTTGTTATTTCAGAATTTTAAAGATCTGAAATATATTTTCAGAGGTATTAGAATTTTATTTTGAATGGTTATAATTACGCAATGGACATTCAGCGAATGCAATGGTATACTTTTATAATTAACCAATGGACATTCAGCAAATGCAATGGTATACTTTTATAATTAACCAATGGACATTCAGCTAATGCAATGGCATACTTTTTCTTTCATTTTTGTCAATCAAAAATAAATACCAATGGCACGCGAGATTTTGAAATCAAATTGGATTCTTTTATAAAACAGAAATATGTTATCCTTTCTTTTTTTGTGTGTTTTTATGTTGACAGTGTTGTTTGTTTAATGTACTATATTTTTGGTCCAATACGTTGTTTGTAATGGACCAGTTGTATATATTTTGTAAAGATATTTTTTTATAATAGATGTGATGAATGCTTGCCAATTTCCTCAACATTCTGTGATATACTGCCATTTTACCACTAATTACTTTTGTCAAGGTATATTTGTTAATCATCTAGTCTATACTGGCTAGTTAGATAGTCTTTCATTATTGTCCCATTTCAAATTCTGAGTAGTTCCTCGTACTAATATTATAGCAAACTCAGTTTACCGACATATACAGACTTGCCTAAAACTATTTCATGTTTTAATATAATAGCAAACTTTGTTTATATACGGACTTGCCTAAAACTATTTCATGTTTTAATATAATAGCAAACTTTGTTTATATACGGACTTGCCTAAAACTATTTCATGTTCTGTCAAAATTTAATATTACCAAGTAGCATAACATTTCAAATACAAAATGTATAACATAAAAATTTTTGCAAACAATTTCCATGCAATAACTTATGAACAGTGTAAACAATGCTTTTCAAATTTTAATATATTCTTACTGATGACAAATATGTCTCAAGGGAAATAACTCATACTCGATTTAGAGTAATTCAGTTGAATCTCAGAAAACATTATAAATTATGCTGATTATAAAGGAACTTTAGTGTTTTGTCCTGTTATATTCAGTTAATTTTTATTAGTGCATTTACTTCATTGTTTACTTTCATTTGGTATATTTTCTGGAGTTTGGGAATTTTTTTTATTGATCATGACCATGTCAATTTTATATGAAAAAGGTGTATATGTATATTTTAAAATATATTCATTCATATTTGTCATTTTGCAGATTTGTCTTTCATGTTGTTGGTATGATCTTATATTGATTTATCATTGTTACCATTTATTTTTCAAGTTTATTTTTTACATGTCTTATGCATTTGTTGTTGTTAGCAATATTTAAAATATATAAATCTGAAACGTTATTGTCAAACTTTAATGTTGTTATGTTGCCCATACCTTGGTGTATATAAGTCCTTTTTAATGCAATATAGCTTTTTACCTATTTGATAAACATGTATATAAGATCATCAATCAAATTTGAAACTTGTATATTGTTCATAATTAGGTAAAAAAGTAGGTCAGCAGGAGTAAAAGTCACATATTTGATATACATGTACAAGATCATCAAACAAATTTGAAATTTGAAACACTGATAGCCTTACAAAGGTGTAACAAGTACATATTGGTAGAGCTGTTATCCTATATCTTGTAAATACCTTTTTAAGATAAATAAACTTTTATTTTTCAAATCCATGAAAAACTGACATTCAAGAAAATATTAGAATTTAAAGTGTAACAAAAGAAAAAGAAAACACAGTGGTTTAATACATGGTTAAATTCATATCCTATAGCTTTCCTGACCAAAGAAGTCAATATTTAGCCATAGGTTTCAGGGGCAAGAAAGCTGAAATAGGTGAGACATATTCATACAGGATAACATTGAGCTGTGGCAAAACTGAAGACAATATTTTTGTTTGTTTGAACTTTTGTTCTTTATATAGAGATTATTGTTCTCCAGTCTGTAAACGAATTCAATAAAGGGTTATAGTGCATGTATATGATGACATATAATTTCTGACTGTATCAGTCTTTATTGTTAATGACTTTAAGGCTATCAAAATTCCACTGATCATACAAGAACTTCATTTGTAGACCTGAACAATATTTAAAAAAAGTGTTATTCTAAAATAGAAGTTCATTTATGTGTGGGAAAAAGTGTATTGTGAAGACTGCAGTTTGTGTGGGATATTATCTTTGTTGTAGTTATTTTAAATATATAAAAATTATGAATGATGTTTTTGTGTTTTTAAAGCCATATGATCATAAAAAGTTATACACTGTGTATTTAATTATTCAATGGCTCACATTTTCATGGATTTAAGGGATAAAGTATTATAGTGGATGCTTGATTTCTACAAATTCTAAACACAATCCAAAGAGATTGATACTTAGTTGAATACATAAATTTGTGGTTGACTTATACCATTGATATACGCTAAAATTAGTACCAGTACTTTAGAAATAATAATGAATTTACTGTACATTATTCAGGTTATCATGAAAATGAACATAAAATACAGTGAATCATGAAAATGTCATAAACATGCATCAATAAGATGTAACCTAAGCTATTTCTCACTAATGAAGCTCACAAATGTGACAGTTATTATACAAGTATCAAATGTAGCATACACTACAATTATTATTTCCAATTGTGAATTTAAATAAACAATACCTTTAGTATCTCAACTCATAAAAGCATATTTTGTAATAAGGTAAAAAAACAAAATGTCATCAATCAATAATAATCAGCTATTTCAAATTTTGAAAAGTCAAATAATTTAGAATTATCTCCCCTTCACTATAAATTTGCTAATAATAGTGAAACATCTCAACTTTTGGGAGCAGATACCATGTTTGTTAAAATAACCAGTCCATAATGTTTAAATCTTAACGATGAATGAAAATTCTAACTTTCAGGTCAAGCTGGGGAGGAGGTGGGTATTAATTTTTTTTTACGAAATCGAGTGTCACCAAATTTAAAGGTATTACAGGAAGTTGACACAATATGAATGTTTTTCAAGTACAGCATGCTCACATGAAGCTTGGTACCAAACAGGAAGCTCTGCTTCTTCATTTCTGATAAAAATGCTCTGGTATTATTACAGAGGGACAAGAAATGATTGACTTGACAAGACAAGTTTTCCTTACTCATGCAAGAGAGATGACAATTATATCAGGTATGACTGTATTTTTACATAACATTCGTATTGAAAACTTATTTTTCCTCTATAAGCAAAAGGAGTGAATGCTGAAGTGTGTGATTCATGATTCATGTTTCAGATGTACAGAAACAAATAGCTGATTATATGGCATGGGTTTTCTCATTGTTGAGGCTGTATGATGACCTTAGTTGCTTAGATCCATGTCATTTGAACTATGGTGAATACCTGTCTTATACACAATCACAACACGTCTCCTTACTCTTATATAAGTAGATATTGAAATATTCTTCATCAAATGATTTTTGGTTTACCATAAATATGTATGATCCTTCATACCAATAAAATGTGAGTAAAAAAAATCCTTAAGAAATTGGTATCAAACAAGAAGGTTTCCTGTTTGGGAGAGATTAACAGAGCAGAAAAGTAATTGAAACTTTCTTAAAAGAAATGAAGTGAATCCTATCTAAACTCTGCATAAATTGGAATTCTCACATCACGATACACTTGGAATATTGTAAAGTTATTCAACCTGTCTAATATGACAACTGTGTTTGTCAAGAAAGAGGTTTAGACAGGTTTCATTGTATTGAATTCAGCTCGACTCATCTTTTGTCCAATTCAAAATAATGACAAAGAATAAAGTTACATACTAGTAGGGGGGAAGTGTAAGAAAAATACTATATATAAAATGTTACAAAAAAATACTGTACAAAAAAAAATGTAAGAATTTTTTGTAAACAAAATGTTAGAAGAAAAATTCTGTACAAAATGTTTGAAACTTCATCCAGTAAACTCAGGCCATGCATTCTCTTAGTATGTTTGGACTTTGATTTAATTGTAAAACTCAACACTTGCATCTTCCTTACTAAAACGCCAAGTAAACTCTCTACCCTCAGTCCTTTCATTCACCATAGACATCAACCAATGTGAAATATCTAAAGTCTTCATTTTTCTTAAGTACATTCTAATAATTCCAGTGACTGGCAGTATAGTACTACTTTGTCAATTCCTTTAACAGTGATTTCATTATTCCCTTCAATATTGAGACATTGAATATGTGGTATATACTTCACAATATTTGCCATAGTTAAATCTGTAACTTCACCTATGCAACTAAAATAAGGTTTTTGTGACACATTCAGTTCTGTCAACAACTGACATTTCTTCAATCCTCTGGCAAGGTCTCAATCATGATGGTTTTCTGGGAATAAAAGAAGAAAAAAATCATTTTAGAAAAATCAAGCATTCTCAAGGATTTACAGTAAAATCAGAAATTATTTCAAGGATTTTATTAATGCCACTGGGTGAGTATTGCGATAGTAAGAACTCACATTCTGATATAAGATACATATATCTGTATGCAGACCTTCCTGAAATCCCAATAACTATAAACCTTGCATTTTTGTCCTTTTTTCAAAGATCGCAATAATAAATGCCTGCAATAATTTCTGATTTTAATAGGAGCCACTGGGTGAGAAAATTGAAATTGCATTGCACCCCATGTTTTCAGATGCAAACTCACCTCTTGTGATTAATGTGATGATATTTAATTGTGTAAGGCTGTTTAAAATAGGGTGATTAAAGTGAATAGCAGTTTTACAGTGGCTGTGTCCAGAAGCTTTCACTCTTAAACAAGACCATTATCCATTTAGGTTTTCCTGGCATATTATTCATGAAATAAAAATTTATTTCCAGAACACTTCCATGTTGTGTGCAGGGTATATAAATGTGTATTGCAGTATAGCTAGCCTTGTTCAAACATACATACAAACACACCACTGTCCTATGTTAGGGGAGGGTTGAGCGCTCACAAACATGTTTAACCCCGCCACATTCTTTATGTGCCTGTCCCAAGTCAGGAGCCTGTAGTTCAGTGGTTGTTGTTCATGTCTGTCATATTTGTTGTTCGTAAATTGTTTTGTTATAAAGTAGACTGTTAGTTTTCTTAATTGAATTGTTTCATATTTTTCATGTTGGGGCCTTTTATAGCCAACTATATGGTATGGTTTTTTTATACGGCCGCAAAAAAATTTTTGAGGTCGTATATTGGTATGACGTTGGCGTCGTCTTCGTCCGAAGACACATTAGTTTTCGCACTCTAACTTTAGTTTAAGTGAATGGATCTCAATGAAATTTACCATAAGGTTCAATACCACAAAAGGAAGGTGGGGATTGATTTTGGGGGTTATGGTACCAACAGTTAAGGAATTAGGGGCCAAAAAGGGGCCAAAAATAAGCATTTTTGTAACTTCCAGACATAACTTGTGTGTAAGTGTATGGATCTCTCTGACATTGTACCACAAGGTTCCATAACACAAAGGGAATGCTGGGATTGATTTTGGGGGTAATTGCCTCCAAATTTTAGGAATTAGGGGCCAAAAAGGGGCCAAAAACAAGCATTTTTCTAGTTTCATGACAATAACTTGTGTGTTAGTCTATGGATCTCTCTGACATTGTATCACAAGGTTCCATATCACAAAGGGAATGCTGGGATTGATTTTCGGGGTAATTGCCTCCAAATTTTAGGATTTAGGGGCAAAAAAGGGGCAAAAAACAAGCATTTTCCTAGTTTCATGACAATAACTTGTGTGTTAGTCTATGGATCTCTCTGACATTGTATCACAAGGTTCCATATCACAAAGGGAATGCTGGGATTGATTTTCGGGGTAATTGCCTCCAAATTTTAGGATTTAGGGGCCAAAAAGGGGCAAAAAACAAGCATTTTTCTAGTTTCATGACAATAACTTGTGTGTAAGTGTATGGTTCTTTATGAAATTGTACTACAAGGTTCCATATCACAAAGGGAAAGCTGGAATTGAGTTTGGGGGTAATTGCCCAAAAAGTTTAGGAATAAGGGGCCAAAAAGGGGCCAAAAATAAGCATTTTACTAGTTTCCAGACAATAACTTGTGTTCAGGTGTATGGATCTCTCTGAAATTGTACTGCAAGATACCATACCACAAAGGGAAGGCTGGGATTGATTTTGGGGGTAATTCCTTCAAAATTTTAGTAATAAGGGGCCATAAAAGGGCAAAAAAACAAGCATTTTTCTAGTTTCAGGACAATAACTTGTGTGTAAGTGTATGGATCTTTATGAAATTGTACTGCAAGGTTCCATATCACAAAGGGAAAGCTGGGTTTGAGTTTGGGGGTAATTGCCCTAAACGTTTAGGAATTTGGGGCCAAAAAGGGGCCAAAAAACAAGCATTTTGCTAGTTTCCAGACAATTACTTGTGTTCAAGTGTAAGGATCTCTCTGAAATTGTACTGCAAGGTACCATACCACAAAGGGAAGGCTGGGATTGAGTTTGGGGGTGATGAATCATAAGGGGGTTCAAAAAATTTGGGGGGGGATTTTTTTTTCCTTTTTTTTCTTTAAAATTTTCCATTTTTAATTGGTTATTTCTGATTTATATATAAAAGCAAATAATAAAGATATGGTTTGAATAGGTAAATTAAAATTTTTTAAGTTCTTAGACCACTTTCATTCTGTGTCAGAAACCTATGCTGTGTCAAATATTTAATTACAATCCAAATCAGTGCTGTACCAAGCTTGAATGTTGTGTCCATACTTGCCCCAACTGTTCAGGGTTCGACCTCTGCGGTCGTATCAAGCTGCGCCCCAGCGGAGCATTTTATTCTCATTGTTGTAGGCCGTACAGTTGCCTATAATTGCTTACATCCACTTTATTTGAACTTTGGTGGATAGTTGTCTCATTGGCAATCATACCTCATCTCCTTATTTTTATATAGAAGTATATGTTTGATTGGTATATAAACCTGGAAATATATTCAAAACTAACGAACTCCTCACGTAGTGACCGTATTGGTTAGGTTTTTTTGACAGATATGATTTATATTTTCTTGATATTACTTGGCAGCTGTAGCATGATCTAGGAAAGAATTCTGCTCAAACCCAGTGCAAGGTTCAACTTGTAATTGTAGTGAGGTGAGAGTTTTTGCTTCATGCTCACTGTGACTTCAAGATGAAAAGCAGCAATTTAAGTGTTGTTCCTAAGCATTAGGTTTTCCAGGTGTGTGTTGTGATTTTGTCTCATGAATTAATTCTTTATATCCATTTTTCTTCATAATGCCTGTTTATTGGCAAAGGATCTACAAAAATTCGTAGTGGTTTAGACATTTTTTTAAATTTCTTTAAATACATGTATATGCATTACATTTCATTTCATGTAGATACATGAACTTGACACTTCATTAATCGTTTTGCAAATCTGACAACCAGTGACCCTCACATCAAAATAAACCAATGTGCAAAGTCACAGAAAAATCCTGCATTTTACAATATTTTACTTGTCTGGGACAAGACAAAACATAAAGTAAAGCTGTTTATTTCCATGTTCAACTAATAGGTAAAATACTTACTTATACGGCTTTAAACTTTATTTGAAACACACAATGCTACTCCTAATACAACCAGAGCCACTCCAATAAATGTTTCTGAAAAAAATATATTTAAAAATAACATACACCAATGCATATCTTTCAACTATTAAAAAAAATACTTGTCATTTGCTATTGGTGGTCTTTTTAGACACATTACATAGAAAGTTGAGGGGATAGGCCAAAGTAGTAATTTAAGAAGAATATGTGTACATAGGACACAATGCCCTGCTCACATTTTCATGTTCAGTGAACCATAAAATCTGGGTCAAAATCCTAATTTGGTTTACATTACAATGAATATGTGTACTAAATTTCAAATTCAGAGTTGTATGATTTGTCAGACCTTGTTGTAGATACAAAATTTCCTCAGTTGAGCTTACCTTAAGCAGTAGTCATGTTTTGGTTTATTTTGTGCCTATTAAGAATGAAAGTGCCAAAATTAAAACACTTCAAAATGAAATATTTGCCATATAAACTGTTGACACAGAGATAGGTCTTGCTTTTATGTAATTTGGAAATCATAATGCAAATGTTGAAATTAAAATGGCAATATTTTTACATGTACACTAAGCAAAACATTCAAAGTCAATGAACCATGACTGAAGGTACAGGGCCAAATAACCTCAGTGGAAATAGAGAATGACAATCCTAATACAAATGCATACCAAATATCATTGATTTAATATTTTTGGTTCATCTTAAACTGACCTAATCACAAACTTTAACATGTAAACTATGGTATTCAAAATCAATAGACCATGACTGAGGGGACAGGGCCAAATAATCTCCATGGAAATGAGATGTGCCAATACTAATACCACTGCATACTAAATATCATTAACCTAATGGTCAATCCCTTAAACTGACCTTATAACAAACTCATACATTGTTGACACCATCACCAGAATACACCTTATCGCTATTCCCGCTTGACCCGAGAATCTGTCCCGCTCGAACTTTTGACGTCATACAACAATCACTTTTCCATTGTGGCGTCAGACATTTTCTATTATGACGTCAAAATTTTACGGGAACTTGTGTGATGTCCAGTAATGGCGGACAAATAGCGATAAGGCGTATCAGTACACCTAAGTCTTGTTTTTTTTTTACTTTGTCTTGGCAAGACGAAAAACAAATGCAAGCTTTTCGATAATCATAATACTAATTATATAATAGATATATAACATCAAATGGTGTAACAGCTTTCATTAATAGCCCTCTTTATAAATATTACTATAAAAAGATTTAAATTAATGAAATGTTAACATCAAAATGTTTTCCCTTATTACAATCATATATGATAAGTTTTCATTTAATATTAATTCTCATAAAGATGTTTGTCTTCACTAGGTAATTATGATATTGATACAAGGTGTCAAATTTTGATTGCTACCTTTTTGTCAAAAATTCATAAATATCCTGATTTAGGGTATATGAAAACATCATATTTCCGTGGTCCTCATCATATCAAAGCAAGTCAGGTCTGATAGGTTAGACCATTTTCAACAGCTCTGCAAATTCACACCTTCGTGCTAAACTTACCTTTAACAAAAACACTTTAACCTGATACAGGGCAGTTGTATGGACGAACAGGCAAATAGATCAGAAAACAAAATGCTCCTTACTATTTTAGACAGAGCATAAAATAAGGAGAAGTGTTATGATTGCCAATGAGACAACTATCCACCAGAGACAGAAGGACAAGGATGTGAACAAAGTTTTACAGGTCACTTTAAACTATTAACAAATCACAAACTGCATAGTAAACTTTAACAGACAAAATGTGAAAACACTTAAAAAGAGAAAAAAACAATAACTGACAACTTCTATCGTATCATATGCCTACTGGGCAGGAGAAGTCACCATGTACCTACAGACACACCAGCAAAGACCAGACGAATTCAGGTTGTTTACATGTTCCTCCAGCTGAGATGCAATGTATTACTGAGCAAAAAAATGTCACCACTGTGTCTCTACTTGCTTGTACAGAAACTTTGTGCACAAAATTATGGAGAGAAGGTACAAGATATAAATAAGAAAAGGTCATTATTAAAACTAAGACAGGAATTAATCTATAGAAAGTCTAAAATGGATGAGAGACTACAAAGTTCACATTCATATCATTTGCAGACAAAAAGCTTGATTCTCTCTCATATGGATATCATATGTCCATGTTTAATTAAATTATCATACTGTGAACTCACCTAAACTCTGAATCTTCTCTCCCAAGATATGGCCGGATAACATAGTAAATATAAAAGTAAGAGAATTTGTAACAGGAACAGCCAAGGACAACTCTACAATATAAATAAATTATGAAAAAAAAAAAATAAAAGCAGGGTTTTTTTTCAGACTGAGAAAGATATAGTTCTTTATTTTATCTGAAACAAAGGTATATCAAAATCAGCGTAATAGTTTTTGATTTTTTAGGAGATTGATTTAGAAAAGATTTTATATCAAAAAAATAAATTGCTTCCCCTAGCACAGCTGGATACGACTGCAGAGGTCCAACCCTGAACAGTTGGGGCAAAAATGGACACAATATTCGCGCTTGATACAGGTCTGAATTTGGATTGTAATTAAATATTTGACACATAATAGGTTTCTGACACAGAATAACTGTAGTCAAAGAACTTAGAATTGGTTATATGATTCGAATTTATATTCAATTTTTTGCTTTTGTGCAATACACTATGCTGTTGCGAATTGACCCCCCCCCCCCTTCCCAAAAAAAAAAAAAAAGTGTTTACCCCCCCTTTTTTTGAAAAAATATTAATATTTAGAGAAATTTTCTTTATAATTCCTGAAACCCCCACCTTTTTCCAAAAAAAAATTCTTTCCCTCAAGATATGGTCATAATCTCAATTCAAATTTCCAATGGAGTTTGCAACCATAACTACCCATTTAAATACATCATAAAAGTCTTAAAATAGAAAATGACATACATAATCATGCCTAAAATTAATATTCCTTAATCAGCATGTTTAAATAGTAACTTCTAAAAATAAATTAACAGCTAATCACCTCAAGACAATACAACATTTCTTTATACATAATTTAAAAGCAGTGTAAGGGAGGTAATCCAAACATAACATTGTACTTTTTTTTAATTGTCCATTAACCAGGAAACCCTTTTTTTCCCCCTAATTAATTACGGTTTGAGCCATAACCCCCCAAAGCCAATTCTTACCATCCCTTTGTGGTATGGAAACTTGTGGTATAATTACACCGTTCCACAAGTTATTGTCTGGAAACTAGAAAAATGCTTATTTAGACCCCTTTTTGGCCCCTAATTCCTATACTGTTAGGACTATACCCCCCAAAATCAATCCCAACCTTCCTTTTGTGGTTATAAACCTTGTGTTTAAATTTCATAGATTTCTATTTACATTTACTAAAGTAATTGTTCGGAAACCAAATGTCTTCAGATGACACTGACAACAAGATACCAATATATGACCGCAAAATTTTTTGCAGTCGTATAAATATTATTCATTTGATATCATTTTCATATGCAATTTTATCAAATCATAACATAAGTATGAAACTTATGAATGTATTTCTTATTTGTACATGCCATGCTTTTTCTTTTTAAATTTCATCAAATTGTTGTTAAATATTTATTTAACCTTCTAACGAGGTAAAAACGGTCTAACAGACTTAAATATTTTACTAAAAAAATTTATATCCATAATTCACTTCAAAGAAATATATGTAAACCTTTTTCAAGTGCTTTTTCAAACCAGGAGCCTGTATTCCAAAGATTGTTTTTGATTGATTACTGCCATTGTCAGGTTTAGTATATCTGCAGTTTGAGCAAAAATAGCTTGATCTGGCTAAAATAACTCAATCAGGCTATGAAAAATTATCTCCCTTTTCATTTCATTAGTGAAATTTCAGATTCCTACTTATTATTTGGAAGTGCTGTCTAATACTTTGGAGACATTATCAAGAAGTCCTACTGAATAAATTTCACAATAAATTTTTAATTTTATTATGAAAATTAATTCCTAAAAAATTTGTATCGATCTGATGAGTTAAGCCTTTTTCAACTGATTTTTATAGTTTGTTCTTATATTATGCTGTTACACCACTGTCACAGGTTAGGGGGAGGGTTGAGCGCTCACAAACATGTTTTTAACCCTGCCACATTCTTTATGTGCCTGTCCCAAGTCAGGAGCCTGTAGTTCAGTGGTTGTTGTTGGTTCATGTCTGTCATATTTGTTTTTTGTAAATTGTTTTGTTATAAGCTAGGCTGTTAGTTTTCTCAATTGAATTGTTTCATATTTTTCATGTCGGGGCCTTTTATAGCTGACTATACGGTATGGGTTTTTCTCATTGTTAAAGGCCGTACAGCTGCCCATAATTGCTTACATCCACTTCATTTTAGCTTTGGTGTATAGTTGTCTCATTGGCAATCATACCACATCTCCTTATTTTTATATTGTGTTAAAGTGTAAAATTTTGTATATACAAATATACAGCTTTTATAACTGTAAAGTTTTAGATTGCACTTTTCAAGTATTACTGTAGAAATTGTAATTAACTTGAAAACTGTCAAAAGGATATATCTTTAATAGCTCAATCGAGATCATAAAGATTGATTGATTGTAGGTTGCTTAACATCCAGTGGCAAATATTGCATGCATGTTTAGGACTAGGGCTACTCTCTATAGCCCAATTGAGCTAAATAAGCTTAAAGTGGGGATACACCAGAACTGATTATTGCTATATGTTTATTGAGGCTGTTGCTTGTCTCTTTTGAATTATTTCATATTTTTAAGTTTTATCATCCCAAAGCCTTTTATAGCTTACTATATGGGATTGGGTTTTCTTATAGTTAAAGGCAGTATAGTGACCTTAGTTTGTTCACATCGTTGTTCCTTCATCTTTATGGAAAGTTGTCTAATTAGCCTGCACACCACATCTCTCTATTACTACATGTACTATTAAACATGTATTTTATGTAACCAAACCTTTTAGGAATATTCTAATGTCTTTTTTACATCCATGAACAAACATGGTTACAATTTTGTCCCTGGTAGAAAACTAGTGTTTAAACATGAGCTCTCCTGCTAGTCAATGGCAAGAAGATTTTATATAGGGCAAACTTAACCCAAATACAACTTGCCTGCTTGGCCAATTAATTTCATCAATATACTTTTTTAAAAAGCCAAGTAAATTTCATTGATGGCAAGTCAATTTAAGAAGAAACTTACCCCCTTGGCCAGCTGGACACAACATCCTTAATATCTATACCTCTAATAAATACAATATTATGCACCAATATGGTCTAACAAGCTTAATTTCTAGATAGAAGAAACCGACAGATATTATGTTTTTGCTATAAAAGATTTTATCAGTGTGTACATTTTAATATGTTGCAGCTTTTTAAAATTCTATCTTTCTTAAATTTATATTCATCTATAAATATGGTTTTCTGTTTATACTTCTTGTACATACCAACTGAAGCTAGAGTGAGGTAAAATAACACAGATCCAGACTGATTCAGAAGGAATGCTGCACAGTACTGAAATGAAAAGTTATTATATATGGTGCTACTGTAAAATCAGTGATCTTAAAACATGTCATATTGAACTGAGATAAAATTAGTCTTACTGCATCTCTCAGTGATTTAAACAGAATACAGTTAAACAACAGAGTTAACACAACAATTGAAAACGAAGTATGGGATTAAATATTATATAAATAGAAATCCAACGAGTTCCACATGTAACTGAAATGAAAGTCACATGGTATTTTGAATAACTGCTGTGGACACAGATTCAGACTTAAAGGGTATGCCCCAGTCGACCTCAACATCTTTTAGGTCGAATACAAATCATGTGCACTCATCTACATGTATTATACAAGGCTAAAGCGTAAAAATGAAAAGTAACAATATATATTTTGTGATTATTAATAATTATTCAACTGGCTTTTATAAACGTCAAATATATAACGTATTCTTGATCATAATCATGATAATGTGATTAACAAATCAAAATTTGATGCTTTCACTTTACATTTACAAACTGGCATTACTGGTCAATAAAAAAAAGTTCACTGTTTTTGTCAGAGATCTGTAAAATTGAACATTTTGGCGGACCTGACTTGACAGTAATTACTCCCTAGTAAGACAATGAAGTTAAATTTACTTCCAGGCAGCATAGATGGGTTGCTGAAACTACAGGGTAATAATCAAATGACAAAGAAACACAGTCTAGTCAGTTTTCAACTATCAAGGTCATATTAGAATTAATAATATAATGAAAATGACATTTTTCACCTTGGATGAGTTCTTATTATCTATCATGCACTGGAAAACTGGAGAGGTCTTGTCTTGATAATTTAAAATACCAGTATATATGGTTTACAGGTGGAAATCTTATCTTTTTTTAAGATACTTGTATAAATGGCAAGGCATGACCCAAGGGACAAAACCTATGGTATACTAGAAAGGTTAGATCATGGTAATTAAGAATACCGGTATTTATGGTTTACTGGTGGGAATCTAAACATTTACTGAGATATTTAAAGAATTTATTATATGATTAAGGGGGTGTCACCAGGCTCAAACATAACCATAAAGTGCACTTGAAAGGTTTCAGATATGGAGAAAAAAATATGTATTGTTTGGAGTGGACACTTGTGATAAATAAAAAACAATTATTTGACCTTGAGATCAAAGGTTAAGATCAGCAGTCTTCTGTGATGATACAAACACATTTTTTTTAGGTAATGTACACATATAACAAATATCAAAAGTCTTCTTCAAAGGATAAAAAATAGGTCAAAGTCTGAAATAGTCAGGTTGCAATATTTGTGACTAAATTTTGCTAAAAAAATGACCACAGTCTGGTTGAATGGGAAAAATCCTCAAGTGCACATCATAAACATATGTACTAATCTTCCTGTGAAGTTTCAGGGATCTGGGTTGAAACTGTAGGAGAGAGTTGATTACACAAAATTTGTACCCTCTTTGATAAATATTGCTGAAAAATAACAAAGTTCCCAAGTCTGGAAAAAGGGAAAAAAAAACTGTAGGAGTTGATTACACAAATTAGGTACCAATTTTTCCCTGCCCATCCATTAGCCTGCCCAATATACTATTAGCTGGTTTTGGACTTTGTCCAATCAGACCAAAATTGACCTGGAAAAAGTTTAAAAGAATAATAAAATAATAAAACAAACCTTCCAGTTAGAAAAGAGGAAATAGAGTTCTGCAAGAATCTGTTTAACTTTGTTATTTCTTCTAATTCTTTCAACTCCTTGACTTTCCCTTTTAATTAGAGGATTTGTTCCACCCCAAAGTGTTGCCACTACCACAAACCATAAAACCTGTGTCATAATATTTCTGGAAAAATCAATATTTTAAATAATCTGATGTAATAGAAGTTTACAGACAAAATTTTATATAAAAACTGAAGTCAAGTCAGTTATCAAACATTTTATTTGACACAAATTGGGCCCCACATAACATATTCATTTCACTACATGTGAGGCTCAATTCTAGGACACACTTCAAAATATCTAACAAACCATCATTTGTAAATAAATATTTAAAAAAAAATTACTGTGGATTCATTATTATTCGTTGGATACCAATTTTCCTGGGTTTCGTGGGTACAGGTGAACCAAAAATTTAAATGTTCAACAAATTACAAATTTTCTAATGGCTTGTACGCAGTCATTGGCAAAACCACGATATTAAATATCCATCAAAATTGCAAGTTTTCCTCAATCCACGAAAATTGGTACCCACGAAAATAAATGAATCCACAGTACTGCAAATATTTCTATTCATAAATTACATTGTAATTCAAAATTTTCTATTGATATTAAGATTATCATATTTATTATATAAATTCAAAATCAAATTATTTCCTTTGGAAGTTTTTCTTCTACAATTAATGATACAAAGGACATTATGTCTTGTTTTCATTGACGCCCGAAAGCTATTTATCTGGTAGTATGATCCACCTGTGCTGAGTGGTCTTAAGACTGGCACAAGAATGTGGATGGGTTAAAAAAAGTTTTTTGATATTCCTCCCCCATTTAATCTCATGAACAGTAGAGTTAGACGGATGGATGCTTTTATGTTTAAAGTTCAGTGGCAAATATTACATGGATATCAGGATTAAAATGTATATGAATTCTGTTTTGTAGTAGACCTACACTCTGAGTATGTTTTTTAATGTGATAGTTTACAAGGCAAGAGTTAACAGGAAGACATGTCATCCTAACCAGGGAAAAAGATTAGCAGGGACCCAGTAGTCAATGCTACTAAAATTTGGGTTGGGCCCCTAAAATTTTTATTCAAAATGCCCATGTACGACAAAATGTATTTGAAAAATTTGTTTTCTTTTTATATGTACACACACATGTACAGTAATTTAAATGACCTTCAAACTGGACACTGGATGAGTCCATATTATTTTTGTTCAATGAAACTAATGGTATGAATGGTAAGAATTGCCACTTCTTAAATTTTCACAGAACTTTCCACTGACAGACATGATAGAGTAGATAACTTATTTTTTAATGGCCTATTCCCGAGAGAAAAAAAGAAAACTTACAAATCATACGTTTTATTCTGTTAAACAAGTCATTTTCTGAAGAGAAATGTTGAAATACAATTTAGGCACTGATACGCCAGGTAAAATTTATTGTTTATCTTAACAAAAAAAAAGCATTTTTCAGTCTCATTATAATGTTATAATTACAATTAAACCGACACAAAAGTAGTCAGTAAATAATATTAAAATATTTCCGATCTGCCTATTTTTGGACAACAAAATTCAATACAATCATTTTACGGTCAATTTCGTCTACCTCACAAAATCTTGTTAGGCACTATAGTGTTAGGACATGTAACTGGTGTGTGATGCAAATGACTTAATTCGAATTGGTTCTTGTTATAACTGTTAATGTTTGTTTTCAAATTGTAAAAATGTATCAATAAAGATAAATATATGCAGATAACTTGGACTTCAGAATTTTTATATTAAATACCTTGTATGTACTCTTCAGTGGCAATTTTTAAAAAGGAAAATAATTATCTGGTAGTAGCACTGCAACATGAATATTAGGCAAAATTTTCAAAAACTTTAACATATCTATTCAATAATAAACACTATACAACGAGACACCAAAACAAAATAAAAATCAGTGCCCAATGGACCCAGGGTGAACATGTATTAGAAGGAACTAACCGAGGGCGAACATGAGTCAGGGATAACAGACCCTGATTCCCCTGTCTGTTGAATCGTAACTCTAAAGGTTGACTATGTTTTCTGATTAATTTTATCAAAAATTACAAGAACCATTAGAGCTACAAGATGTTTTTTTCTGTATATGATTATTGATATGATATTTATTATAAAGAGAAAAGTACCCCAAGCTCACTTTCAGTTATTTATCATTGAGCCGTCTTGGAAGGCTATTTTTGGCTTTGACGCCTTCCTACGAAGGATAAAAAAATCAAAATCGAAAAATAACTTCAACAGACGGCATGATTATCTGGACTATTGACACCCCCTACACAGGCACTTGTTTCTATCCATTGGAAGATCTACCATCAACGTACATTTAGGCTATACGTTGATAGTGGATCTTCCCATGGATAGAAACAATTAAGTGCCTATGACCCCCTCCCCCTTTTTCAAAAACCTACAATATTTGAAGGTTTGCTTAATGTTGTAAATAGTTACATTTATACAAGCATTAGAATAATATCAAAATTGAAGTTACTATCTGAAGATTATTGTGTCAATGTCTTATGTATGAAAAGTCATTTTCAACCCGGTGTAAATGGTGGGGCACGGGAAAGTCCAATCTAAAGATATTTTTAGTGTGTGGGTCAAGGACGTCTGTGATTTATGCGCCACCTTCCATTTGTCAACTTCCGGTATATTTTCGAAGTGTAAGTTGTCACTTTTATTAGTTTTTCCGTCACAGCCCCGCTATATTACCTTATTTTTGCTTACATTATGTAGAAAACCAAACTATAAACATAGATAATTATGAGCATTAATAACAAAACAAAGTATCTTTTCCTCCATTGTTTACAATGTTGCCTCTTTGTATCTGCAAATATGTATGGAATGTACGTGTATCAATGTTATTTGATTGAAGCAGCAAATCTGAAGTTTTCTCTTCAGATAAGATATTGTCTTCATATCCTGAATTGAAGGCCTCTCATGGACATATCAACTTAAGTGGAATACATAAAATGAACAAGTAGAATTAGGACTAGATTTATTTCTATCATAAAAAGTACATATGTTACAGTTATGGTTAAAAGTAGGCGCTGGCTACAATTAAGTTAAAAATGTTACAATAAAAAATGTTATTGTAATGTTGGACACTAATTGCCAAAATGCTAGGTTGGGTTAGGAAACGATTAATTTATATTAATATTATTTGTGTCTAAGGACAAGTAAGGTTACATTGTGTTATTGTTACGTTAATGCATTTCAATGTATGCTGGAAATAGTTATATAGTATGTCTCATATGTATGTAATATATTAACATATTTTAGTCCCACACATTTTTGGTGGAACCACTCTAGGCAGCCACCACAAAAGAGTGATACTGCAATGTGCACGTCGGTATTTCACACTAAATAGTTCCACCCTGCAATTTCAATTTTTGAAGTTATACCAGCTTTCACTGCCATGCTTGAGGTGAAAAGTTTTTTTTTTTTCTTGAACTATTAATATTTTCGTCCAAAATTTTTCTTGGAGACAAGTGATGTTTTTTTATATTTCCTTTTAATATTTCAGTTCCATCATTTATATAACTGTATAATCTTGATATTTTTTAGTTTTGATTCAAATGCATTCAAAATTTTTAATTTTTCACCCCAAAAAAATTTTAGGAATGGGAATGACTTTGTTCATTGTTCAGAGTATAATGACGGTAATGTTGAATAATGACAATAGTAATGATAATAATAATTTTTTTTATTATAATTATTATCAAGAAAGAATAATTATTATCATCATTCATATCGGAGAATTCAGCAACAAAAATAAAGTGGTTAAAAGTTTAATAAATCTAGGGTAACATTTATGCAACTTAACCGTAGACACAAATTTATATTAATGTTAATATAAAGATAAGAAGACGTGGTATAATTGCCAATGAGACAACTTCCCACTAGAGACCAAATGACATAGAAGTTAACAACTATAAGGTCACCATATGGTCTTCAACAACGAGCAAAACCCATACCCGCATAGTCAGCTATAAAAGGCCCTGATACATGTATGATAAATGTAAAACAATTCAAATGTTTTTGTTTTGTTAGCAATTATAATCAATTGCCTGTTATTGCATAACCCTTATTGTATTATAATGTAAAGGGTCCTCCTAATTACTGATGCCTTGGAGGATGTCTAACAGCGTTCTCACTAGGATATATTTAGGGTGAGTCCTGGGACTCATCCTTTTTTGAAAAGGTGAGTCTAAGCTTGTTCTGATGAGTTCATAGTCCAGTTACTCAAATAATTCTGATCAGACCTGTCTTGATTATCTAAATGTACTTCCGCGAATGGAAGGATCTTTTATAACACTGGATTAGTTGGGTTAATATAGTCGATATTTTATATTGAAGCAACCAAATCCTTTGTACCCTGGCCCACTCATTCCAAACACATACTACATGTATACAGATTTGTTTTCGTTGTTGAAAGCCATACAATGACATGACTTTTGTGAGGCAAACATCTCACACCAAATCTCCATATACATTTGATGTATTTACATTATTAAAAATTGGTGAATAATTTCCTTTAAAAATATTTACAAGAAGCATGTCTTTGAATACTTTTTAACAGTTAAAAGATCATCTTGATGATGATAGGACTCCACTTATATACATGTAATAGGACATGTCTGGCGGACGCACAGGTTGCTGAAATGGTGCACGCATACAGAAAATGATGCATGCTTGACGTATATATGCACCTTAACAAGTACCCTAGGCTAATCACTTGTAGAGGCACATACAATTGGCAGGAGAATACATTGATCAAGTGCAGACAATTAATTGCATTATTTAATGACTGATCAGCAAATGCTAATTACAAATGTACAAGTTAGAATTAAAAAAATAACATTCAATTTACATGCATGAAGAAATTTTGTCAGAACACATGATTTATGTAATCCACATCCCCCTTTTTAAATGAGTACAAGATAAAACTGAACATAATTTTATGCCAAATAACACAAGTACAACAATTATCGATCAAAATGAAGAACTTTACAAGTAAATACACAAATATTAACTGTCACTTGATAATCAGAACAAATTTTGTATCATTCCGAATTCATTTCGTAGTTATACCCAGAATACGCAGATGCATTGCCTTCCACAAATCTTTATTCAACTTTTAACAAATATGTGTTTGAAATTTCTTGTTAATTCTGCAAATCGTTGATTCCGGTTTGTTTTTGGCATGACTTCTGATTTGAATTTGGCAATGAGGAGAAACAACCCCAAATTTTTAAGTCTTAACAAAATTAACAAAATAATGTGAATGGATCTCAAGAGCATTGGTTCACAATGTATTTAAAATTTACAAACAAATGCCCCATGATTTTTATTAAAGTTTTGCACACAACACTGGTGTCCAATGTCAAGTGGTATGACCTTAAAGATGAAATCTGTAACATTATTAATTTATTTAAAAAGGATATTTAACTTGACCTATTTATGCAAACTTGAACATGTTGAAAGCAAAAAAATGTTTTTTAGACCTTAAGGGAAACCTGATTCACATGTAACATGTAATCAAAGCTTGACATTTAGTTCTCAAAACTGCTTTAAAATATTTACCTCTAGAAAATATTGCAGAAACTTAACTATATATTTGAAAAATATCGTTGTGAGATGAGCATTTCTGTTCAATTATGATGATGTTACCAAAAGAAGGATGGGACTAAGTTGTTAATGGGTGAAGCAAAATAAAACATTAGGTGTCAAACGACATCAAAGATACAATGGCACTAATTAGGCTCTCTTTTTGTATATTTGGAACACACTCAGAAGCCTACATACATGTTCATGATTTATATATTTGTGGTTTACTTTGTTCTTTTGCAGATCATTATGGTAATTTGAAGATTTTATTCGCCAGAGAAAATTTAAAATGTCATTAGTGACAGGTGAGTTTAAAAGGAGAATAGATGCGCTTGTCATCAATAGTTTATGCATATTTCATTCGAACACCTCACAGTGATTCACCGTACCAGTATGAGCTCTCCTCAGTCAGACAATGTAATATTTAAAAACATTAATGTCTATTTGTTGTTTTTTTATGAATGAATATTTCATCATTGGACAAGTCTAATAGTGATAAAGGTCCACAAACTATTTGGTTATGTTGCTCACATGCATTTTACACATGAGTGATTGCATAGCTCAGATTTTAGCAATAGTAGGTGGTAAAACTTACATTACAAAAGCAAAAACATCTTGGATTGTAGTGAATGGCCTTGTTATTAAACTTTCTCATTGCTTGGGAAAAGTAAAAGTCTGTAATTCATGGGTAAATGAATTTTTAATTACTTTTCAAGTTTTGCAATTTGTAGGGGTGAGCGATTTTAGTTGTGGGACAGTTTTAAAACAAATTTTGAAAAACCTTGAAAAATAATATGCACATCATGTATTCAGTCACCTTGACTTTCATTTTATTTTCTAGTGACATTCAGTTTTGCACTAACGTATAATTACATGTAGTTATGGAGAAATGATAAGTGTTTAATATAAGGATAAAATCAATGAAATGAAAAGAAAAACAAATTTGCTGAGAAAAACTCTTGTACATGTATGTATAGTGCAGCAGTTTTCTAAAATATGAAAAGCTGTTGTCAGGGTAAATAATATTCATTTATCAAACAGAATTTAATAGATAATCAATCATTGATTTATTTAGTGTAATATCCAGAAAACATAAATCAAACTATTTTGTGGGTAATCTTTGTTCCCTACCGCGGTGAGACAAATTACAAAATAAATCTAGCTGATACATATATGACAAATGATATGATTTTGTGATAAAATGCATCACTGGTAGAATCTGACAGTATGAAAAGCTGAGGTTGTGACATAGGCTATTTTTCAAAAACATGTATCATAGTCCTGTAGAAATGCATATTATTAGCTGTTATAATGGTTGTGATTTTTAATCAAAGTTTTTGAAATGAAATATAAGACAACTTGTTGTTTATCATAATTTGGTCTTTATTATGATCTTGGAAAAAAACCAGTTGTACATATACATGTACATGTTATATGATGTATGAGTCATGTATCTGAAGAAACTCTAACAAACAAAATTCAAAATCATTGTTTTCCATTCGTTTGATGTGTTTGAGCTTTTGATTTTGCTGTTTGATAAAGGACTTTCTGTTTTTAATTTTCCTTGGAGTTCAGTATTTTTGTTAATTAACTTTTTACAGTAAAAAACATGGTTTTCTATAAAAAAAAGTAAAAAGAGTTAATTATTCTAGTTACGCAAGTTAAACTCTGAAACATTTCATGGTCTCAGCACTTGAGGCAATGTTTACAGGCAAATATTTGTTTCTTTACGTAGTGCTTGAGTGTTTTTTAAAATGTTTTACATATTTTACAGACACAGATCAAGCATCAGGATTCCTGGATCATTTACAGAATAAGTTACGTGAGCAGGGGGACTACACAAAGGATGATGATATCACATCAATCCTGTCAATGTTGGAGAGTCCACTGTTTAAACAGCTCTTAACTCTACAAGAATCACTTCATGAACTTAAACAGGTCACAAAAACCTACCCTGTAACAGAGAATACATTTGAAATCTCTAATTCAGGTAAATGAATTCATTGTATCTTTTATAGTGATATTCATGGTGCAATTAGTTATTTTTCACAAATGCAGCATAGAGTCTTATTGCATGATTAAACAGTTTTACAGCTCTCTTTATTTAAGAATTGAATGGTTTTCATAATTTTATTGGGGTGTAAAAGCATTAACCGAAGCACATTTCGTATGAAGAGCATTGTTGTGGGAAGCTCATGCAGTCATGATTGTTGCATTTTATTGGAAAATAAAATATAATATTGGAATGCCTGGCGATTGTTTTCTGCTTTCAAAATTACAGATTCTAATGAAACATACATATAATGTAAATATACCATCATAACAAGTCTAGAAAGGTTTCTACATTGCTGTACACTTACTACTAAGCAGTAAACTCAAGTGTGAAGATATTAAAATAAACAGCTGCACCATGAGCGCATGATACGCCCGTCGTCTTGTGTGTGAATTTTTATGCAATAAGCATAAATAGTTTCTGACATACGGCGTGACATGCGAAAACCCCCTTTTTTTTTTTACAAAAAACTCAATATCTATAAAATAAAATTTTGAATCAAAACCAAAAAGTATACAGATCTTGAGATTAATATAACTAAGAAGTGTGTAAAATTTTAAGCAATAATCATAAATCGTTTTTGAGATACAGCGCGACATGTGAAAACACCCCTTTTAAAAAAAAAAATCAATATCTCAAAAATAAAATTTTGAATCAAAACCAAAAAGTATACAGATCTTTAGATTAATATAACTAAGAAGTGTGTAAAATTTTAAGCGATAATTATAAATCATTTTTGAGATATGTCGCGACATGTGAAAAACCCCTCCCCCTTTTTTTACAAAATACTCAATAACTCAAAAATAAAATTTTGAATCAAAACCAAAAAGTATACAGATCTTAAGGTTAATATAACTAAGAAGTGTGTAAAGTTTTAAGCAATAATCATAAACTGTTTTTGAGATACGGCGCGACATGTGAAAAACCCCTCCCCCTTTTTAACAAAATACTCAATAACTCAAAAATAAAATTTTGAATCATCACCAAAAAGTATACAGATCTTAAGATTAATATAACTAAGAAGTGTGTAAAGTTTTAAGCAATAATCATAAATTGTTTTTGAGATACAGCGCGACATGTGAAAAAAAACACACACCTGTTTTAGTTACTAAGTCCCGTAACTCAAAAAGTATACAGATCGTTTGACCATCATAAGAAACAACTATGTTAAGTTTCATGAAATTTGGATAAGTCATTCTCAAGTTACGGTGCGACATGTTTACGCCGGACAGACAGACGGACGGACAGACGGGCAGACAGACGGACAGACAGACGGACGGACGCCGGACATTTGTATAACATAATACGTCCCGTCAAAAATTTGACGGGCGTATAAAAATCAAATAAGAGTCATACATGGAATTTTACTACCATTTTAAATCTGTCAAATGTTTATTCCTATTCCTGCACAATAATGCAACATAAATACCTAAATGCACAATTTTTCATGATAAGTCATTTAAATCTGATTTTAACAAAAAATCTTACGATTAAAATTGATCGTAAGTTATACTGAAATGTGTATGACTTACGAGTATTTTTACTCTTTAAGATTTTTTGTGAAAAGAGCCGCTGGCGTGTCAAGATTTTCTTTCATGAAAAATGCACACAAAAAAGGGTCTGGCAGTCAAAAGTTCAAATCTTTAAAAGATAGTAAATTAATCAAATTATTAGATTATTTGTTATAATTTGTATCATATAAAACATTATTTAATAAAAATTAAAGATTTTTTTTAGAAAATACTAGAAAGTTGACTGATTTAGACTTAGGATTTCACCATAGAAGCAGTTCTGTATGACATGTCACCTGCCATTGTAATTTGAGCACATATTATATCATTTCTACAAAGGTTTTTTTTTTCTCATTTTGCAAAATGAAGTGTAGATTTGTATTGTAGTAAGTGTTGAACGAGAATAAAATACTATGATCTTTAATTTGACAAAGGATAAAGAAAGATAACTCTGTTATATATATATATATATATATATATATATCTGTAACACTAGTAGTTCAAAGTATGAAATTACACAGATACTTTATTCGATTATATTATCTACCATTGATGACCTGAAATACATTTATGATTCCCAATGAAAATAATTAAAAATCCAGAAACAAGCAAAAAAAATGCTTAGTCACTACAGTTAGTAACAACTAAAACTTAAAAAGTACTGTATTCTTGAAATCATGTAAAAAGAAAATTCTTGCAAACAAACTTTACTTTAAACGTTAAACATAAATGATAACCTTGAAAAATTATTTTCATTCATTCCAACTGACATCAAGCATGGCAATTTCCATGTTAACTTAGTTATAATAGAAAATCCTACAAAAGAGATCCAATAGACAATTGCTGCTACTGAAGGACAGGATGTGATGTTAATTTTTCACAGAAAAGTGTACTTTTGATTTGAAATTTCAATCATACAACAGTTGTAAAATGGATGTGAAACTTAATTAATGAAAGCATCATGAATTTATGTAAAAATTGTTTGATCCTAACTTTATAGTTGATTTATTTTTGGAGTCACTTAGGATTGAGGTTAACATTTAGATTTGATTAAACATGTACATTTTATGAGAAAAGTATTCATGATGTCAACATGAAACTGCATCAATAACTTCTTCATGAGAGAACATTAAAGCAGTCAAAGTATAATATGAAAATAAGAAGATAAGGTATGATTACCAATGAGACATCTATCCATCAAAGATCAAATGACGTAGACGTTTCAAATTCAGCCTTATATTTACAGGAGAATTGATCTTAAATGTACCTCCTGATGGAATCACAAATCCTAGTTTTAATGATACAACTGCTGATACCTATGCAGTGTCTGATGGACCTATTGCCATGCCTAGTTACGATGTGGAATTTCAAAGGGCTGTTGAAAGATCAGCTCAAGGAAGAGATGTGGAAACTATCAAGTTATTTAAGCCAGAGAATAGTAGCTTGGGATTCAGTGTGGTTGGAATGAAGAAGAAGGATAATGCTGAATCGGGAATATTTATACAGGATATACAGCCTGGTGGAATTGCTGCAAGGTAAGGGATTTATATGAAATATACAGCCTAGTAGAATCTGTTGCAAGGTAAGGGATTCATATGGAATATACAGCCTAGTAGAATCTGTTGCAAGGTAAGGGATTCATATGATATATACAGCCTAGTAGAATCTGTTGCAAGGTAAGGGATTCATATGGAATATACAGCCTAGTAGAATCTGTTGCAAGGTAAGGGATTCATATGGAATATACAGCCTAGTAGAATCTGTTGCAAGGTAAGGGATTTATATGGAATATACAGCCTTGTAGAATCTGTTGCAAGGTAAGGGATTCATATGGAATATACAGCCTAGTAGAATCTGTTGCAAGGTAAGGGATTCATATGGAATATACAGCCTAGTAGAATCTGTTGCAAGGTAAGGGATTCATATGGAATATACAGCCTAGTAGAATCTGTTGCAAGGTAAGGGATTCATATGGAATATACAGCCTAGTAGAATCTGTTGCAAGGTAAGGGATTGTTATAGAATATACAGCCTAAGGGGATCACTGCAAAGTAAGGGATTTACACAAGATATGCAGCATGTTAGATTTGCTGCAAGATAAGGCATTAAAAAAGGACAGACAATCAAGAGAGATTGTTGCAAGGTAAGGGATTCATTCATTGATGTGATTACTGCAAGGTCAGCAGTTAATACAGGATACATAGGGTTACCTACATGTTATGTTTTTTCTTTTCATTTTTGAATGAATCTAGTCAAGGTAGATTTCTCCTAATTTGTAAGTGTCAATACAATGATCCTTTATTAATGGATATATCTAGGACAGGGATGTACCTCCATCTAACATGTATGTCATTTTGGTCAATATTTTTGCATAACTGTTACACTAAGGTCCAGTTTTTAGAAAGAGAAAGGGGAATAACATGCAAAGGATTGGAAATCAACCTCCATCATGTTGTTATAATTTTGTGAGTCCAACTTCTGAAATGTCTAATGAATTTCATTGAAAGTGCACATAAGAGTAGTACACACCATATGAAAGAAGAAAGTTTTGGTTAAGGTATTTTGAAGAGAAAGTATTGGTCATATATTTATTTGATTTATCAAAATTTTACAATATTTAATAACCTTATAAGCAGGATTACAAAATTTTCTTCTAGCAAACCTCATAAATTTTCAATACTGTTTATAATGTCTTGCATTTGTAACTAAGACATTTAAACCCATCAAGGTGACCACTGGGAGATCAAGCCCTTAAGGGGAAGAAATTTTGGTCATGACATATGAAAATTGCCAACAGATACATTGATATGGATTCTGTTAACTGACAGTTCATGTTTGAAGTGTAGAATGTCAGTGGACTCCTGAAGTGTACTACATTAATGTGCTATCTTCATCATATATTTGACAACACACCAATGAGAATGTTTACTTTTGTACCTGTGTTGCCAACAATGAAAGCAGTTCTAGTAACTGCTCCACTCCTTCCATCCATCCGTTTGTCTATTTGTCCAAAAGACCTGGGGTCGAAATCTTTTGTTTAGTTTCTTGGCTTCAATGTAAGGAAATGGTAATATATTTGCTCTGGAGCCTTATTATATTGAGCAGTACCATGAAGCCATTCAGCTAATTCCTGTTTGCCTATAGTTGGAAATTTTACAACACTCAATGTACAAGGAAATTTTCATCAAACTTTTATTGGCTTCTATGTAAGGCAATGATCTGTTATGCTTCAAATTCAGTATACATGTACATGAAGTGACCCAGGTCCAGACACGTTATTGATCTTGCTTTAAAAAAGAAACTGTGATACTATGTGTAAATTTCACTCAAGCATCCTCTACATTTAGCTGAACTTTTCAAGTTCTTTCAAAATAAAAAGGAAAATAAGAAATTTAGGAGGACTTATTTCTTTTTATTTTGAAATCTTTCAAATTTTATTCAATATACATAAGTGTACAAATAAAGATAGTTTAGTACATAAAAATATTCTTAATCAAAGTAATATTTCTAAAATATAGCAAAGGTAAATACCATCTTCACACCAAATATTTATTTGTATTCTTTATTGATTGATCGCTTATAGTCTGACCTCATTAAACTGATCACTTTAGTGATCATTCTTATTCATCATTAGTCCTATTCATGGTAGATAAGCTACATTTGTAAGGAGGACCCGTCAAAGGTATAAATCCATAAAAAGTAAATGAATTATGGCTTCATTATAACTAAATAGAGCTCATGTTTTCTTTCTGCAATTAATTGAACATCATAAGCTGAAATCATACTAGTCAGACAATCTGGACAATTGGGACACTTCAATGATTTCACCAATTTCCATTTTCCAGAGTTACATCCCCTGTCAAGGGCAGTTGACTGTACTTTACATGTAAGACATATATTCAGATAAAAGCATTGAATAGTTAAATTTAATACAGTTTTCATATATTCTTGGTGTGAAAGATTTTTCCTTGTAACACTTGAATTTATATGTTAGTTCTATTATTTATCCTTTTTTGTTGAGCCTATAAATGTCGCGAAAGCGAGGCATAGGGATCCAAGATTCCGTCTGAAGCGTCAACATTTAGGTTCAGTCTGTGGTTTAAGTTTTTTTTAGACATCAATAACTTTGTCAAACCAACATGGAATTTTATGAAATTTGGACAGAATCTTGTTTATGACCAAAATACAGTATCCAGAGCAAAATTTAAAAATATTTATTTTCATTTTTCCGTATTTTACTGATAAATAGACTTAGTATTTTTTACAGTTAACAAGAAGATACAGTCTGGGGTTAAAGCTTGTTACACATCAATTACTTTGTCAAACCTTCATAGAGTTTTATGAAACTTTGGCAGAAGCTTTTAATGATTAAGAGATAATGTCTGAAGCAAACCTTTGAAAATATTTTTTTCATTTTTAACTGGATTTTCGAAGGAAATATCGGTTATTGATTTGGTGATGTATGGCAAACAAATTTAGATATGTTGTTTCCTGTGACTAAATGAAGGTCAAGTTCAATTTTCACGATTTTAGCTTTTCTCCTGGTTGAGTTATTGCCCTTTTTAATTAGTATTTTTCTGATAGATGGACTTCGTTTTTTACAGTTAACATTTACAGACAGTCTTGGATTAAATTTTTTTGACATGATAAATTTGTAAACCTTCATGGATTGTAATGAAACTTGGACAGACGCTAATCTTCAAGACCAAGAAATAGCATCTAAAGAAAAAGTTAAAAAAAAAAATTTAAATTCTATATTTTACTGATAAACTGAACCCCTTACCAATTTTTGAAATAAATTTTTTTATCAAAAATTATTTTTTATTTGTATTTATAAATGCTTGGATAGTTGAAGAAATGTATCTTACAATTTCAATAAGTAGTATCTAAAATTCTGTTTGAATTCAGTAAAATTCATTAATAAAAAATGACTACATTTGGAATTTAATCCCTTTTTTTCCTGAGATAAAAAAATTGATTACTGTAAATTCAGAAATTGTTGCGAGGTTTTTATTAATGCGAATGATGCTACTGGGTGAGTATCTCAATAATAAGAACTCACATTTTGATATCTGATATATCTTTAAGCAGATTTTCCTGAAATTGCAATAATTTATCTTGCATTTTTGTTCATTCATCAAAAATGGCAATAATAAATTCATGCAATAATTTCTGAATTTATAGTATTGATATCAATAAGTGAATGATCCATAAATTAGAATTATGTATCAACATTCCATAAAATTTTGGTCAATTTTTTTCTCTGAAACAGCAAATAAGAGCTTCCTAAAATTTGGCATCTAGCTTCATTTGAGCATGCTCATGATATACTGTGTGATGCATTTTCAGATTCATCACTCATCAACTTCCTGTTCACCAAATACTTATGTACTCTAACAAATAGTGGCAATTTATGAAATTTGCATCACATTTTTCTCAGGAAGTCCAACTAGAAATCAAGGCTTTCTAAAAGTTCTAGAAAAAAGTAGTATATGATTAATTTTACTCTTAAAAGTTAATAAAAAACTTTTCTTAATTTTTTTGCCCACCTTTATGTAATTTTTATACCCCCGCCGTAGCGGAGGGGGCATTATAAGTTATCTTGGTGTAATCAGGGGTATACAGAATTTTACACCGTTGTTGAAAATTCATACACCCTGAGGTGCAGCCTAATGGGTGTATGAATTTTCAACAACGGTGTAAAATTCCATTCACCCCTGATAACACCAAGATACCGAATTTATTTCTTATGAACAATTCCTTTACTCATTTTTAAACCAGGATGTAAAATTGAAAAATGGTAATGAAAAATTTCCAGTGTAACATTTTTTCAACGTCAATGTTGCTGCGCATTGTCAAATACTTTTTTTCTTTATTTTTGGGAAATTCAGAAAATTTTTGTGTTCTTTTGAATTTTTGAGAAAAAAAAATTTTAAATATTTTTTTTCTTGTTTTTAATTTTTTTCAATTTTTGTCCTCAAATTTAATTATTTTTTATTTTTTATTATTTTGACATTTTATTTATTTTTTTTTTATTTTTTTGACATTTTATTTTTTTTCTTTATTTTTAGCAAAATTTTATATTTTTTTATTTTTTGGCAAAATTTTATTTATCCTGGGGTGAACAAGGGTGGGGTGTTATTTACACCGGGGTAATTAACCAATCAGATTGCAGTATTTTTGCTGCATAAGAAATAATAAGTTTTACCCTTGTCTGTCTGTATGGCCGTCCGTCCGTATGTCCCAGAGTTGGTTTCCGTTCTCTAACTTTTAAGTTTGCCTTAACCAAATGTTATGAAACTTATACACAATGCTTATTGCCACTACATACAGATCAAGTTTGAATTTTGGTGGCGTCACTTTTACCGTTCTAGTGTTATGCTCCTTTACAATTGGAAAAATTGGTAAATTTTTCGTTTCAGTTCTCTAACTTAAGTTTGCCTCAACCAAATGTTATGAAACTTATACACAATGCTTATTACCACAAAACATAGATCAAGTTTCAACTTTGGTGGCGTCACTTGTACCATTCGAG